GCGGCGCGCTGGCGGCGTGGGGCCTGAACGGGCAGCGCGCGGGCGGCTAAAGGCCAGTCGACAGAGTAAGAGAGAGCTCGGAGTGCGCTCCGGGCAGAAAAAAAAAGTTCGAAGTAGTGGTGGGCCCTAAGCACAGTTCCCACAGGGGAACCTGCTCGATACCATGAGAAGAAGTGAACGAGAATGAATCAACTATGAATGAAGTGAGTACATATAGGAAACCCTGATTGGGTTGTACCCCCTATGGGATACCCCACTATAGCCTACACAATATATATATAAGCTATAATGTTCTGACAGGGTGGACCCAGCAGTTCCGAAAAGAGTTTTTAACGGAGTCAGCGCGGTCGCTGACAGTATCCGTGCCGACGGCCGACTGCAGCGTTGCTTGATTAAGCGCGTGAAGGCACTCGTCGTCAAAGTGTGTAGCCGTTCAAATCGGAAGCTGCTCGGAGTTACCAGCCGCAACACGAGGGAAAATTTTGCAACAGGTGGGGGGAGAAGGCGACAGCTGTTTTCGCCCCTGCCCGGAGGTTTTCGGCGAGTCACGACAACACCGATAAGGTAGCTGACGTCATCGACAGTTCAAGTTCAACTTTGAAAAAATATTTGCGAGGTCAGGGGGAAGAGCAGCAGCTGTTTTTCGCCTCTGCCCGGTATTTCTCGGCGAATATCGACAAAAGCCTCGGCGAGTTTGGACAAGACTACCAGGGGCGCCGACAGCTGGAGAAGCTACAATGAGGATTTTCGACACTGCAGCAAGACAAACGACAGCAATTTCGGGAATGCAGCAGCTGACAACTGAAGATACTGCGGCAGCAAGGTGATTCGGTGCTGCCACGCGGAGATTTTTGGGTGGCAATCTTTTCCAAAGGGGGGGAGAAAGTGCTCTCGCACTGTACTTGTCAGTATTTTCTGACATCTTGTCTGACAGATCCAGCACGACGGACGCTCGCAATCACATGGACGACATCGACGGGTCCTGCTTCATCGACTTCTGACAACGCGTCAGCATTCCCGCCCACGACGTGTTCATCTTGACCGTCCGACAGAGATCCACCACATCGACGGCTCTCATTCATTAACGAAATTTCAACTCGACATTCGAATTCAACCGCCCGATCGTTATCGGCAGTATCAACGGCTGACATTCCAACTCTTTGAATTTCGCATGGTCAACGCGTTCAGCCACGCGTCAACTTGACAGTCAACGACTTCTACACCGTCAGATCAGTTTCAACCGAGATCTGCAGTTTTCACACTACTGCACGACTCGTCTACGGATAAGGGGACCTTATTTAGAAGGTGGGAGAGTGTAATGAATATGAATTCATTACTGTAGAGGCTGTTCCTAGCGAGGACAACCCCGAGCACTTCGCGTCAGTTTCGAGGTTCGGCCTACATTTCGGACCGAACCACCGACGAGTCGCTCCGCACCAATCGCGACACTTCCAAGCCATCCACGTCCCGAGGTCCTCGCCTAGCACGGTTTCGACCCTATAAATGCTTGCCTCTTTATCATTCTCGACATTCTGTATTCGACATCCTTTTTATAAAGTCTTCCGCGCACTCTGTCTAGTAAAACTCATAACTCATAAGTTGGTAACGAGCACTCTCGTCAATTACACAAAGTAGGAGTCGGTAGAGAGCATCAAACAGTAAACCACCGTTAAACTCTTCACATTTTGCACCCCACGAACCAGAGATGAGAAGCGTTTCGTAAGCAGCGGCAATCAATTTTTGTGTTCGCGGAACACGCCCTCTATATGCTCTTCCATCCTCTCGTCCGTACTGATTTCCTCGAAGGTAGCGAGCAAACGGATGTATGAGCAAAACACAGATGCTCCTCCAATCACGTCCATTCGAACACGAGTTTCTTCGCCATAGCTCAATGCCGATCTGTGATTACTCCAGCGAGCCAATGTGCTGCCATGTCACGCGTGCAAGCCGCGAATGCTTCGTCGAGCTTTTCAGTACCAATCGCTTATTCTTGTTGCCGTCCTTGCAAAAAATGGCACGTCGAGGCGCGAACGGCTTTTAGTTATAAAAGCGACTCTTGATTCTCGATAATTCGCATCTCAACCAATCCATTACAAACTCGCATCTCTTTCAATTTCCATCCCCCAGCTCGCATTGTTATTCATCGTAGTACTCGCCATCTTCTCTAGCTCTCGGCATTGGTGATATTCATGGCATCCCGCAAGCTCCTCGTCCCCTTTGTCCTGCTCGCCCTGTTCCTCGCTGCTGAAGGTACGCGCGTTTCCGTCATTCGCATTATCATTACAAGGCATTTCTCCGTGATGTTGTTCAGTTACTCGTTTCGCAGAAAGCTAAGTATCTTACTCCCTCCCTGATGTCCCCCAGGGGCTCGACCCAGGTATGTGCCCCGCACGAGGAGGGCTCTCGAGAACCGCACCTGCCCCGGCCAACACGGCACTAAAACAAACCTCAAGACGTGCGCGTTACACTCTGTGTCCGACAATCGCGCGGAGTGGCGAACCGGGTGTCTGACTCAGATGGTCGCGGTCGGAGGAGAAGCGTTGGTCCCAGTGACGTCAAATGTGACACCGAAATTGTATGCAGCGCAATATGCACCTAAGGGCGTGGTCCCATACGTCAAGGCAAACTCCAGGATGTAACTAACTATTTTACACTATCACATCAGGACTATGGAGTTCTCCTGATACTCCATCTCAGCAGGAGAATTGTGCTGGTTATGATTACAGCATGATGGGGCATGCTATGCTAGGAGTCATACCAACTACGTTGATATCATCGCAATGTCATAATTCCTCACTCAAATAGAAAGTACTGTAAAGGGTCTATTGTTGAACATCAATCACTGTACAACAGGCCTGTAAGATGTACCTAAACACATAGCGAACACAAGGGTCAAGAACCCCATCAAATCACTCAATTAAGTCAATGAAGAGCCGGTCTTCAAAGAAACAGCTGTCACGGCGGAAACCGGGCAGCCTCAACAAATGGTCTGGAATCTTCACGCCCACAGATTTCTCATCTATGCACAGCTCGGGCAGCCCTGCCAGTGCTGTTAACGATTCGGGCAGGTGCCGCAGATTCGGGCAGTTCTGAACAACAAACGTCTGGAGGAATTTCAGCTGCCCGACGCCAGCCGGGAGGGCCTGAATGGCCGGACAGAATGCAACCACCAGCCTCTGCAGGAACTGGAGGCTGCCCAGGGATTCGGGCAGCTTGGAAAGCTTCGAGCAGCCAATCAAATCCAACCGTCGAAGATTAACCAGCTGTGAAATCTCCTCTGGAAGCTCAGCTATTCCCGCAGGCTTGGATTTCTTCTCCAGTGTGGTTGGCAAGTCAGCCGGCAAAATCAACATCAGGGAAGAGTTCATCGCACTGCCTGTCTCCGTGGTAACCGCATCGCTGCCCAAGCCAACTGCACCGCTTCCTGAGAGCGACGCTTGAGACGCTGATCTGGACCCCAGGCGGCTGGCAGGTGGGTCCGAGAAAGATTCCCGATTTCTGGTCTCTGTGAAGTCGAGAACGAGGCTTTCAAGAAGGTGGAGGGAGAAGAAGGCAGGCGGGAGGGTGGTGAGGGAGACGTTGGCTCGCAGGACCAGCTGACGGAGGTTGCACATGGCTGATGGGGTGATACCCATGGATGACGGCAGGGCGAGCAGACCGCTCGGACCATCATCGTCATCATCGTCCTCCTCATCCTCCTCGTCCTCCTCCTCATTATGGCCGTTATTGTCATAATGACCATTGTCGTGATTCTCTCCGTCCTCGTTTCTGCCGGTGCTCGCGCCGTCATCGCTAGCAGCGGTATCGTCAGTGCCGTTCATGCTCATGTGCATGTCCATGGCCGTTGAATGGCTCACTATGCTCATCCCATCCTCCTCCCCATCCTCATCCCCATCCCCATCCTCCTCTTCATCCTCATCATCATCCACCTTGTTATCCACAAGAAGCAGCTGGAGGCTGCCTGAGCTGCCCAGAGATTCGGGCAGCGTGGCGAGAGAATAGCAGCCAATGAGCTTGAGCGAGTAGAGGTACGGAAGGTGCCCGAGAGATTCGGGCAGAGAGGTGAGGGCGAAGCAGTTGCGGAGCTCCAATCGCACGAGACTTGTCAGCTGCCCGAAGGAGTCGGGCAGGGATAAAAGTCCGCAGGCTTCGGACTCCTCTGCAAAGCCCTTGTTGTCAAAAACAAATTCTTCAAGCTGATAAAGCTGCCCAAAAGATTCGGGCAGATCCAGCATCAACGGGCAGCCGACAATCTTCAGGAACCGCAGGGAGTAGAGCTGACCGAAAGATTGCGGAAGCTCTTTCAAGCTGCCCAGCCACGTTTCACTTGCTGCCATGTTGATGACCATCTCCTCCAATTCTTTCAGCTGCCCGATGCTCTCGGGCAGGTTGCGGACCGACATGCACCAGCACATCTTGAACCACTTCAGGCACTGAAGCTGCCCGATAGATTCGGGCAGCTGGCGTAAACAATCCAGGCTCAGCAGCTCCAGCTCCTCCAATCCAGTCAGCTGCCCGATTTCCTCGGGCAGCGTAGGAAGCTGTAGACAGGAATCGAGCACCAGGCGGCGAAGATTCGAAAGCTGACCGAGGGCAGGCGGAAGAGACCGCAAACCAAGCTTAGAAGACTGATTCATTATAAGCAGCTCCTCTAAGAGGGAAAGACGGGCGATGGAGGCTGGGAGGGAGCGGATGTATCGGCCGGTGCAGAGGGCGAGAGAGCGGAGGGAGGGGAGGGCAGTGAAGAGGGTGGTGAGGCCTGCTGGTGTTCTTGCGTAAGAGCGCTCCTGTTGGTGATGGGGGGAGAGGGAAAGAAGAGAGATGGGGAAGTGATGAGAGTATGCAGGAGGAAGGAGAAATCTTAAAAGAATAGCAAAGACTAGCACAAAATACCTAAACAGAATTCTAGGCCATTCCTCAACGGCGCCAACAGCAAGCATACATACTTGCAAGGAAACCCATGGAAGAACACACCACAGGACTCTGAGACACCAGCTTACATTGTAACCAGGGAAGACATCGACATGCAGAGCCTGCAGCTCCAATCTGGATAAAGCAATCATCTCGAAAACATCATCTCCCTCCACCTCCACGCTGTTCCAGGGCAGATACAGCACTGCCAGGTTCGGGTAACAGGCTAGGTACCGAGCCAGCAGAGGCTTGGGGAGCAGGCGGTTCGGGAGGAGGTAGAGGGCTTGCAGCGCGAGGCAGGAGAGGGCGGCGAAGCGTCTGGATAGGACGAGACACGCCGTCCAGTCGAGCGGGTCGGTGAGGCGAGAGAGGATCTGGACGATGAACTCGTCCGGCAGGTCTGATAGCTGGGTGGCTCTTGAGTCGTCTGGTGGGAGCAGGAGGGTGAGTAAGGTGGAGAAATAAGAATTGATTTGCATGATGAATCGTAGGGAGGGGGATTAGAGAGCATCTGAACGATGAACTTGTCCGGCAGGTCTGATAGGTGGGTGGCTCGAGAATCGTCTGATGGGAAAAGCGAAAGAAGGGAGCGAGGAGATGACCAAACAAGAGATGGAAGGAGGAGAAGGATGAGCAACAACACAAGAAAACAAGACAGGAACGAAAAGTGGCAGCAGCGCAATAATGAAGGCTTTCAAGCGGTTGCATCAGCATACCTTGGGCTTCATACAGCTGCCTCTGCTGCTCCATCTTGGCACACAGGTGAGGCCATCTGGTAGGAGACTCCAACGCACCCAGCAGCTTGACACTGTTACACACTATCCTCTCCCACATAAGGCTCACCTTGAGATTCATAAGGCACACATAAGGCTCACCTTGGGCTTCATACAGCTGCCTCTGCTGCTCCATCTTGGCACACAAGTGAGCCCATCTGGTGGGAGACTCCAACGCCCCCAGAAGCTCCCTCATGGGGCTCTGCCCCCCCCACTCCTCCACCCTCCCTCTCCCCTCTGCACCCGTGTTGCTGTTTGCAGCTGCAAAATCTCCCTCTGCTGCCTCTTTTTCTGCTCCAACCCCCCCAACAACTTCCCCTTCTACCACAGCTGGTCCGTCCTTTTTGTTCTCCATCCCTCCCTCCTCTTCTCCCTCTGCTATCCCTCTGTAAATCGAATGCTGCTGCCCACCTGCCATCACCCCACCAGTCGCCATTACTCCAGTTGCAACGCTTCTCGCCCTCTTCCATCCCTCCTGCCGGCACGCCTCCCCATGCATTTCTCCAATCGCCCCCACCGACTTCCCTGCTGTCCCCCCGGCCACATCAACTGCACCAAACACCAATGCTCCATTCCCCAACACCCCAGCCACATCACCCACCCCTCCCTCCCTGCCTCCGTCCATTCCCGCTACAACCTCTGCCGCTACAGCTGCCAGGGCAGAAACACCCACACCCTCTTGTCTCCCTGCATTAGAACCGGGAACAGCTCTTCCGGGCTGAGACGCTGCTTTCACAGAGAGAAGAATGTCTTTCCATGTCTTGCCACTGCCAGCAATCCCGTTGGCCTCGCTTGAAGGCACTGTTGCAGCTGCTGGCCCTTGTGTCTGCATACCCTCACTAGGTGGACCCTTCTCCTCTCGCTCCTCCTCTCCCTCCTCCTCATCGTCCTCATCCTCCCCTTCATCTTCCTCCTCTCTCTCCTCCTCGTTTTCTGCATCATCCCCCAGCATTTCCCCCTCATGCCCTTCTCCCTCCATGCCGCCGCCACTGCCCTTCGTTATAAGCACATCCCCCGCGCCTCCCACCATCCCTCCTGGTGATCCCACCATTATCTGTCGATCCAACGACCGAGATTTGCTGTATCCCCCACTCCCTCCCCCACTCCCCAAACCCCCAACCCCTCCTGCTCCACCTCCCCCTACCTCCCCCATGCCAGCACCTCTCCTCCCCGCCCCCTCGCGGAAATCTGAATCTCTCGACGAATCACGGAACTCGCCAAACCTCGGGTCCCTCGCACCCCCACCAAACCTCACGCTGCTGCCGAACCTCGGCGGCAGCCGTGGAGGCAGGCCTCGGGCCATGGGTGACTGGCTCGGGCTCACAGACGAGGTTCGGATGGGAAAGCCGCTAGGATAAGCCCCCGGAGAGGCGGAATAACGTGGGAGGTTCGGCGAAGGGGAGCGGCGGCGCTGAGGGGAAACTCCTGACAAGGCTGCTGCTGCCACTGCTGCAGCATCAAATGCCCGGAACCTACTAGGGCTGAAGCTTCTTCGGGGGCGAATGGGGCTCACGAGATGGGTGGAGGGGCAGCGAGTGTAGCAGGGGAGATGGGCGGATGGGGAGTGAGGGATGGAGCGCGGTGACGGGGAGTAGGGACGGTGGATGAGGCGTGGGGAGGGAGCAGGGTAGTGCTGCTGCTGCTGCTGCTGGATGCTCTTGTCATTGCCGTACAGCGTGGTGGGTTCACCATTGCTATTAGATTGGCCTTGACTAACATTGTTACCAGAGGTAGCACCAGTGGAAGCAAGAGCAGCCAGGGCCTTCACACGGCCCTCACCAGCGTCCAGAGAGGAGTCCTTTGGAGCACTGTCAGCAGTTTCAGCACTGTTATTGGCAGCAGCAGAGGCAGCCAGAGCAGCGAGCTCTCTCACTCTCCCCCCAGCAACATCCAGAGAGGGGTCATTTGAAGCAGCACTGGCGGTTGCACTGCTGTTGGCAGCAGCAGAGGCAGCCATAGCAGCGAGCTCTCTCACCCGCCCCTCTCCAACCTCCAGAGAGACCAAGTCCTTTGAAGCACCGCCGGTGCTTTCAGCACTGTTGTTTGCAGCAGCAGAGGCAGCCCGAGCAGCAAGAGCCTTCACACGCCCCTCTGCAAAATCAGGATTCGCCACACCTTTAGGCGTTGCACTGACAGAGTCAGCAGCTGCCACAGAAGCCACCAGAGCAGCAAGAGCCTTCACACGCCCCTCTGCAACATCTAGAGCCGCTGCCTCTTCAAGGGGTGCAATGGTGGTATCAGCAGCAGCAGGAGCAGGCACAGAGGGAGCAAGAGCCTTCACCCATCCCTCAGCAAAGTCTCCAGTCACCACCACCTCTTTAGGGGGTGCACTGGTGGCGTCAGCAGCAGCAGTGGATGCCACCGCAGCAGCCAGCGCCTTCACCCTCCCCCCAGCAATATCTAGACCCGGTGACTCTTTAGAGGGTGCACTGGTGGTATCATCAGCAGCAGGAGCAGCCGCAAAGGCAGCAAGAGCCTTCACACGCCCACCAGCAACATCTAGACCCGCTGACTCGTTAGAGGGTGCACTGGTGGCACCAGCAGCACCCACAGACGCCACCACAGCAGCCAGAGCTTTCACATGCCCGCCAGCGATATCTACAGCCGCCGCCGCTTTGGGGGATGCACTGGTGGCGTCAGCAGGAGCAGCAGTTGACGCAACCACGGCAGCAAGAGCTTTCACATGCCCGCCAGGAACATTTATAGTTGCTGCCTCTTTCGGGGCTGCAGCTGTGGTGTCAGGAGTTGCAGACGCCACCACAGCAGCAAGAGCCTTCACACGCCCCTCTGCAACATTCAGAGTCGCTGGTTCCTTAGAGGGTGCACTGGTGGCGTCAGCAGACGCAGATGAAGCCACCACAGCAGCCAGTGCTTTCACCCTCCCAGCAGAAACGTCCACAGTCGCAGCCTTGTTAGAGGGTGCACTGGTGGTATCAGCAGCAGCAGACGCCACCACAGCAGCAAGAGCCTTCACACGCCCCCCAGCAACACCTAACGCCACCGCCTCTTTAGGGGATGCAGTGGTGGTATCAGCAGCAGTAGCAGTAGGCGACAGCATAGCAGCAGCAAGGGCCTTCACACGCCCCTCACCCTCAGACACATTCAGCAGCAGGGGGTCTTTGGCAGAATCACTGCCTGCTTCCTCATCCGCTCCTCCTCCTGCCTCAGCTGGGCTCTCCTCAGCTGGAGTGTCCTCGGTTGGAGCATCCTCAGCGGGAGCGTCCTCAGCCTCCTCCAAGTCCCAAGACTCATCGCCCCTGATCTCCATATCGGTGTGCTCTGTCTCGTGCTCTACCTTCTCATTCTCCTCTTCCTCCTCACCTGGGCCCTCCTCAGCCTCCATGTCCCAAGACTCCTCGCCCCTGACCTCCATATCCGTGTGTCCTGCTGCGTCCTCCTCCAGGTCCTCCTGCTCTACCTCCTCCTCCTCTTCCTCCTCATTGCTCTCATCGTCCTCCTCAGCTGACTCCCCTTCACCTGGACCCTCCTCCGCTCCCTCCATCTTCCAAGTCGCCTCGCCCCCAACCTCCATATCTTCGTGCTCTAAGTCCTCCTGCTCCTCATTCTCCTCGTTCTCCTCCTTCTCTTCCTCCTCCGCGCTTTCCTCATTCTCTTTTTGATCCACTCCATCTACTTCCTCCTGTGCATCCTCCTCCTCCTCCTCTCCCTCGTCTCCTCCCTCTCCCCCTGCTTCCTCCTCCTCCGCCGCCTCTCCATACTCTTCCTCCTCCCCCTCCTCTTCTTCCTCTTCCTCTTCTTCTCCCTCCCCTTCCTCTGCTCCACCCTCACCCTCCTCATCATTATCATCCTCTTCCTCCTCCTCCTCCACCTCCTCTTCCTCCTCTTCCTCCTCTTCCTCCTCCTCCTCTTCCTCCTCGCTACCACTACTATCCAGCAACGAAGGCTGCTTTCGTTCCTTCACCATACTCCGACTCAGCCCCAGGTTAGCACCACCCCCTCCCGCACGCCCCATACTGTCCCGAACCACCATGCTCCGACTCCCCAGCCCAGCACTCCCCCCTGTGAGCCCCATGATCTCCCGAGTCACTGCACTGGCCGGCACATGCAGACCCTGTGACGCCACCAGCGACAGCATGCGTGACCGCTGTGACGGGGGGGAGGAGGGACAAGAGACACCGAGAGTGGGAGACGGAAGGGATGGTTAAGAGGGACGCGCAACACCAGCAACCCCCCTGTTAGTCCCATGATCTCGCGAGTCACTGCACTGGCCGGGACATGTAGGCCCTGTGACGCCACCAGAGAGAGCATCCGCGATCGCTGCAAGTTCGAAGGGAAGATGCGAAGAGTGAGAGAGAGGAGAAATGGTTAACAGGTATCAGCAGCACCAGCACTCCCTCCTGTGAGTCCCATGATCTCTCGAGTCACTGCACTGGCCGGCACACGCAGGCCCTGTGACGCCACCAGAGAGAGCATCCGTGAACGCTGCAAGTTCGAAGGGAAGATGCGAAGAGTGAGAGAGAGGAGAAATGGTTAACAGGTATCAGCAGCACCAGCACTCCCTCCTGTGAGTCCCATGATCTCTCGACTCATTGCACTGGCCGGCACATGCAGGCCCTGTGACGCCACCAGAGAGAGCATCCGTGAACGCTGCAAGGGGGGGAGGAGGGAGAAGAGACACAAAGAGTGGGAGACGGAAGGGATGGTTAAGAGGTACGCGCAACACCAGCACTCCCCCCTGTGAGCCCCATGATCTCCTGAGTCATTGCACTGGCCGGGACGTGAAGGCCCTGTGACGCCACCAGCGACAGCATACGCGATCGCTGCAAGCAATGAAAGGGGGGTAAGGGAAGCAACACGGGTGAGTGAGCATTATGTCCCAGGATACCATACTGCGGCTCGCCCCCAGCCAGCACTCCCCCCTGTGAGCCCCATGATCTCGCGAGTCACTGCACTCGCCGGCACGTGCAGGCCCTGTGACGCCACCAGCGACAGCATCCGCGATCGCTGCAAAGGGGGTGGAAGGGGTGGAGGAAAAGAGCGAGAAGAAAGGGGAAAGGTTGTCACGACATTGGTAAAATGAGGGGGTTGGGACTTCAGGCTATCTACAAGTGGTAAGAGCGAGGAGGTCAGAATAGAGTACGCAGAAACATGCAGCTCACCTTGCCCGGACTGTGAGGATTGGGCTGCTGCCGACCAGCAGCACCTGCCATGGCCGGAAGCGCAATAGGAGCCACTCCTGCTGCTGCTCCCCCCGCTTGCCCCACAGCACCTCCACTTCCTGTCCCAGACGCGCCCGTCCCGCTCCCCTCACCCGCCCCTGCTCCTCCCCCTCCGCCACCCCCTGTGCCGCCCTCCCCCTCCCCCTCCTCGCGGATGCCCTGGCGGAATCTGAGCTCCCCCAGCACCGCATTGAACCGCTTCATGCTCGCCACACGCAGCCGCAGCGCCCGCTGCTCCTCCGCGTTCCTCTCCTCCTGCTCCTGCCGCTTTATCCTCGCTTCCTCGTCCTCCTCTTCCTTCTCCTCTGGCTTGCTCCTCGGGCTGCTGTTTGTGCTCTCTTTTTCACTTGCCTCCTCCTCCTCCTCCTCTTCCTCCTCCTCTTCCTCTTCTTCCTCTTCCTGCTCCTCATACTCTTCATAGTCCTCCTCCTGCTCCTCCTCCTGTTCCTCCTCCTGCTCTTCCTCCTGTTGCTCCCCTTCCGAATCTTGTCCCTCTGCGCTTTCTCCTTCTTTTCCACCTGCTGCACCTGCTCCCTCCTCTGCCACCTCCTTTGATTTATCCTCGTCTGTGACTTCCTCTGTAACCTCTACAGTAACCTCCTCTTCTGTATACTCCTCTGTAACTTCTACAGTAACTTCCTCTTCAGTGTATTCTTCTGTTACCTCTACAGTTACCTCCTCGTATTCCGCCGTTTCTTCTACAGTCACCTCCTCATATTCTCCCGTTTCTTCCACTTCTACAGTCACTTCCTCATATTCTCCCGTTTCTTCCACTTCTACAGTCACTTCCTCATATTCCTCTGTCACTTCGACTGTCACTTCTTCATACTCCTCCGTTTCCTCTACAGTCACCTCCTCATATTCCTCTGTCACTTCTACAGTCACCTCCTCAGTGGATTCCTCTCCTGCCTCACTCCCTCCTTCCTCCTCTTCCCCTGCACCCTCCTCCCCCTCCGCAGCCTCCCCACCTTCTGCACCCTCCTCCTCTACCTCCGCCTCCTCATTCTCCAATTCTTCCTCCTTTGTTTCTTTCGTTTCTTCCTCTTCTTTTTCATCCTCCTCGTTTTCCTCCTCTCCTCCTTCTCCACCCTCTTCCCCCTTCTCTTCCTCCCATGCCTCATTCTCCTGCTCCTCCACCTCAGCAAGTGCTTTCGATGCCACTTCAGCAGCCGCTCCCGATGCCACGTCAGCAGCCGCACCCGATGCCACGTCAGCAGCCGCTTCCGCTGTCACGTCAGCAGGTGCTTCCGCTGCCACGTCAACAGGTGCTTCCGCTGCCACCTCAGCAGGTGCTTCCGTGGCCACATCAGCCGTTGCTTCCACTGCCACGTCAGCAGGAGTTTCTGATGCCACCTCAGCAGAGAACTCCCCCACAGCATCAGCCAGCGGACCTTCAGCAGCCGCAGATTCCACACCCTCTGCTCTCATGCTCCCCCCACCCTCTCCTCTGCCTTCAAACTCACCCCCCTCCTCCTCTACCTTGCTAATGACGCCCTCTCCCTGTTCTACCTCTCCCTGTTCCACGGGCACCGAGACAGCAGGTGCTGTGGCAGCTAAGGCCACAGCAGCCATAGCTGTTGCACCGGCAACGGCTGTTGCACCAGCCACCACAGCAGCAGAGGAAGCACTATCAGTTGTCGCGGCAGCACTCGCTGAATCAGCACTGCCAGCTGTAGCAGCCGAAGCAGCAGCAACAACTGAAGCAGCACTAGCAGGTGTAGTAGCAGCTTCCGCTGCAATGCCAGTTGTAGCAGCTGTAGCAGCAGCACCAACGGAAGCATCAACCTCTGGAGTGCAGGGTTGCTCACCAGGAGACACGGCCAACAGCTGCTGATGCTGCTGCTGTGGAGATCTGAAAGGAGGCACAGGGAGTTGCTCAGGCTGCTGCTGGAAGCGGTTGAGGAAGTCACTCCGCAGTCGCCCCACTGATGCAGTTTGGGTAGGAGCCGGTGCTGCTGCAGTAGGAGAGGCGGCAGATGCAGGGGTCGGTGCTGCTGCCGCTGCGCTTGCCATGCCTGGCCTCCAGGCTCGGATGGGCACGGGCTTGGGCGCAGGTTCGGAATCGGACCAATCAGAGTCCGAGCCTGAGTCAGAGTCCTGATTGGGTCGCTTCATCCATGATTCTGCAGCGCGAGGCTTGATGGTAACGGCAGGTGCTGTGCGGTGAGGAGGAGTAGAAGGCTGAGGGGAGGAAAGTGGCTGAGAGGAGGAGACGATTGTTGGATGAACAGATGGTTCAGGTAATGACGGTGCATCTGCTGCCATATCAGCTGGTACAGAAGTGGATGGACCTGATGCCACGTCAGCTGGCACAGGAGTGGATGGGCCTGATGCCACGTCAGCTGGCACAGGAGTGGATGGGTCTGATGCCACGTCAGCCGGAACCAGGTCGCCTTGTAACACCTCTCCACCTGAAAATTCACCTGACTGCACCTCTTCCTCTTGCACCGTCTCTGCCCCCTCTCCCTCTCCAACCTCATCCCCAGCAACAACTGCCAGTGCCGTTTCTGCCCCTGTTGTTGTTGCTGCTGCTCCTGGCTCTGCTGCCAAATCACCAGAGTTTTCAGGAACGTATTCATCCTCAGCTGCAGCAGAAGCATCAGCCGCAATATCAGAGTCAACCACACCTGTAACAGTCACAAGTTGAGCAGGAGCATCAGTAAGAACGTGCTGCTGTTGTTGTTGCTGCTCCTGTTGCTGCTGCTCCTGTTGCTGCTGCTGTTCTTGCTGTTGCTGCACGTGCAGGGGTTGTGACGGAGGCTCAGAAACTTGCTGCTGCTGCTGCTGTGGGGACCTAACGGGTGGCACCGAGGGTTGCTCCTGCTGCTGCTGCTCCTGCTCCTGCTGCTGGTGCTGCTGCTGGAAGCGGTTGAGGAAGTCACTCCGCAGTCGTCCCACGGGGCCAGTTTGTGAGGGAGGAGAGGCGGCAGGCGCAGGTGCTACTGCCGCCACACCACTCGCCGCACCTGCTCTCCAGGCTCGGATGGGCACAGGCTTGGGCGCAGGTTCGGAGTCGGACCAGTCAGAGTCGGAGGCTGAGTCAGAGTCAGCCTGATTGGGTCGCCGCATCCATGAGTCTGCAGCGCGGGGCTTGATGGTAACGGCAGGTGGGGGAATTCGAGGTGAAGCCAGGAGGGTGGGAGGCTGGGGGGAGGCGAGTGGGGGTGGGGAAGAGACAACCAAGATACCATCTCCCTTGATTTCCTCCTTAGCCTCTTCCTCTCCTTCCTTCACCTCTTCCTTACTGTCTTCCTTAGTCTCTTCATTACCACCTTCCTCTCTTTCTTCCTTCATCTCTTCCTTACCCTCTTCCTTGGTCTCTTCGTTACCCTCTTCCTCTCTTTCTTCCTTAGCCTCTTCCTGCATCTCTTCCATCCTCTCCTCCTTACCCTCTTCCACTCTCTCTTCCTCGTCCATCCTCTCCTCCTTACTCGCTGCCACTACCTCACTATCCTCTTCCACTCGCTCATACCCAGCCTCTTCTGTACTCTCCTCCTTACCCTCTTCCACTCTCTCTTCCGTACCCTCTTCCACTCTCTCTTCCTTACCCTCTTCCACTCTCTCTTCCTTATCCTCTTCCAATCTCTCGTCCCTACCCTCTTCCACTCTCTCTTCCTTATCCTCTTCCAATCTCTCGTCCCTACCCTCTTCCACCCTCTCGACCCTACCCTCTTCCACTCTCTCTTCCTTACCCTCTTCCACCCTCTCTTCCTCGTCCATCCTTGCTTCCTTACCCCCCACACCCTCGATCGCACCCACTTTCTCTCCCTCTTCCTCTGTTGCTTCCACTCCCTCTCCCTCTCTCGCTTCCACTCCCTCTTCCTTAACCGCTCTCTCCTCCTCACCATCTGTCACTATCACTTCCTCTCCCTCATGATCTTCCGCTGACATACCCACTTCCATCACCTCCATTATTGTTGAATCTCCTTTCTTAACCGCTCTGTCCTCCTCACTCTCTGTCACTATCACTTCCTCTCCCTCATGATCTTCCGCTGTTGACACACCCTCGTCCTTCACCTCCAGTATTGTCGCACCCTCTCCCTCTCTCTTCCCTTCTCCCTCTATCATCTGCTGCTGCTGCTGCTGCTGCTGCTGCTGCTGCTGCTGGAAGCGGTTGAGGAAGTCACTTCGCAGTCGCCCCACCACTGCTGGCTGGGCAGCAGGAGACGCGGCAGGCGCAGCCGCCACTGACGCTACACCACTCCCCGCACCTGGCCTCCAGGCTCGGATGGGCACAGGCTTCGGCACAGGTTCGGAGTCGGACCAGTCAGAGTCCGAGCCTGAATCGGAGGAGTGGGTCTGCTGCTTTTTCATCCATGAATGTGAGGCACGTGGATTGACGGTTATGGCTGTGGTGGGATGTTGAGCTGGAGAGATGGTGGTGGGAGGATGAGAGGATGAGAGTGCGGGTGGGGAAGGGACAGCCAAGGCATCATTTCCCTTTGTCTCCTCCATAGCCTCTTCCTCTCTCTCTCCCTTCACTTCCACTTCTCTTTCTTCCTTAACCCCTTCCTCTGCCTCTCCCGTCACTTCCTCCTCTCTTTCTTCCTTAACCTCTTCCTCTGTTTCTTCCTTACTCTCTTCCGCCCTCTTCTCGGTACCCTCGTCCTCCCTCTCTTCCGTACCTACTTCCTCCCTCTCCTCCTTACTCTCTTCCACTCTCTCTTCCTCTTCCACCCTCTCTTCCTCTTCCACTCTCTCTTCCTCTTCCATCCTCTCTTCCCTACTCGCTTCTTCTCGCTCCTTACCGCCATCTTCCAATGTCTCCTCCTCACCCTCTTCCACCCTCTCTTCCTTACCCTCCTCTTCCTTCTCTTCCTTCCTCTCTTCCTCAAACTCTTTCTCACTCACTTGCTTACCCTCTTCCATCCTCTCTACCTTACCCTCTTCCATCCTCTCTACCTTACCCTCTTCCATCCTCTCTACCTTACCCTCTTCCATCCTCTCTACCTTACCCTCTTCCATCCTCTCTACCTTACCCTCTTCCATCCTCTCTACCTTACCCTCTTCCATCCTCTCTTCCTTACCCTCTTCCATCCTCTCTTCCTCGTCCATTCTTGCATCCTTATTCCCCACATTCTCAAGTTCAACCGCACCCACTTCCACTCCCTCCTCCTCTGTTGCTTCTACTCCCTCCTCCTCTGTTGCTTCCACTCCCTCCTCCTCTGTTGCTTCCACTCCCTCCTCCTCTGTTGCTTCCACTCCCTCCTCCTCTGTTGCTTCTACTCCCTCCTCCTCTGTTGCTTCTACTCCCTCCTCCTCTCCCCTTTCCACACTTTCTTCCTCTGTTGTTTCCACTCCCTCTTCCTTCACCACCCTCTCCTCCTCACCCTCTGCCATTGCCACTGCAGCTTCATCATCTCCTGTTGACACACCCCCTTCCTTCACCTCCATTATCGCCGTACCCTCTTCCTCTTCCTCTCCCTCCTTCTCTCCCTCCACCTGCTGCAGCTGCTGCCGCTGCTGCTGCTGCTGCTGCTGCTGTGGAGACCCAAGAGGAGGCAAAGAGGGCTGCTCAGATTGCTGCTGCTGCTGGAAGCGGTTGAGGAAGTCACTTCGCAGTCGCCCCACTGCTGCAGTTTGAACAACAGGAGCGGGAGCCGGCACAGGAGACGGTGCTTCTGCTGCTGCACTCGCCATACCTGCCCTCCAGGCTCGGATGGGAACAGGCTTGGGCGCAGGTTCGGAGTCGGACCAGTCAGATTCGGAATCAGAGCCGGAGTGGGAAGAAGGCTGTGCTGGGTGGATCCATGAGTTGGCAGGGCGGCAGGAAACAGATGGAGGAGAGGGGACAGAGGGAACAGAGGGCGCAGGGAGGGGAGAGGGAGGAGAGGGAACAGCAAGGGACGAGGAGTGGGTGGGAAGAGGGTGAACGGTGTCAACCAATGGAGCTCCTGCTGCCATTGCTGCTGCTTGCGTCTGCTCCACCAAGGGGGGTGTTGTCTCATCTTCTGCTGCTTGCCCGTCCTCCCTTGCTCCTGGTGCTTCAGCCACCAGTGCTGCTGCTGCTCCTTCTACTGATTCTCCTTCCAACGCTGCTGACCCTTCCACTGCTTCTTCTCCCGCCACCGCTGCTTCGCCTTCCACCGCTGCTGATCCTCCCATGTCTGCCCATTCAGCTTCTACTGCTGCCACAGGCGCAGGCTCTGACACTTCAATTCTCTTCGAAGCAGCCTCTGATGTGCTCTGGCCACTCACGCTTGCATCACCTGCCGGCACTGCCACATTATCCTCCCCCTTTGCGCCCTCTCGCGCCACACTCTCTCCCTCCACACTCTCTCCCTCCACACTCTCTCCCACTACACTCTCTCCCTCCTCACCCTCTCGGTTCATGCTCTCTCTCTCAAGGTCTCCAGTTTTTTCCGTCTTTTCCTCTGCCCCTGACACACCGTCTCTCTTCACCTTCTCCTCTATCACCTCCACTCTGCTCTCTTCCTCTTCTACCTTCTCCTCTCCGTCTTCTTCTCTTTCCTCCTCTCCCCTCTCCTCCTCTTGCATCGTCTCTGCTTCCTCTTCATTTCTCTCCACCTTTCCCCTTGCCTCGTCTCCTCTCTCCTCCTCTTTTTCCTCTTCCCACTTTCCTTCCTCCTCTTCCACCTCCTCCCTTTCACTTTCCACCTCCTCCTTTTCACTTCCCACCTCCTCCCTTTCACTTTCCAACTCCTTTCTTTCACTTTCCTCCTCCTCCCTTTCACCTTTCTCCTCCTCCCTTTGACTTTCCTCAGCTGTGGCAGGTGAATCAGGTACAGCAGGTGTTTCAAATGCAGCAGATGAATCAGGTGAGTCAGGTGAATCAGGTGCAGCAGCAGGTGAATCAGGTACAGCAGGTGTTCGTGTTTCAGATGCTGCACGTGAATCAGCGCCAGAAGAATCAGATATAGCAGGAGAAGCAGAAACAGCAGGCACCAATACCCTCTCCTCCTCCTCGCTCTCAACTTGAGCCACCAACTCGGAGTCAGACGCAGCCGGAGAGGCAGGGCTGAAAGGAGCAGCTGGTTCAGCTCCGACAGGCGAATCAGGTGCGGCAGGTGAATCAGGTGCGGCAGGTGAATCAGGTGCGGCAGGTGAATCAGGTGCGGCAGGTGAATCAGGTGCGGCAGGCGAATCAGGTGCAGCAGGTGAATCAGGTGTGTAAGGTAAAGCAGGGAAATCAGGCATTGCAGACGAATCTAATATAGCAGGTGTCACCCCGCTCTCCTCCTTCTCTCTCTCATTTAGAACCACCGAATGGGTGTCAGCGGCAGGAGAGGAGGCAGAGCTGAGAGAATCAGGTGGCTCATCCCCCCCCGCAGGTGAATCAAGCACGGCAAGTGAACGAGGTATGGCATGTGATTCCGGTGCAGCAGGAGAATCTTCCACAGCAGGCGCCTCAGATGCAGCAGGAGAATCAGGCAGAGCAGGCAGATCAGGAGCAGCAGCAGCTTCAGGCACAGCAGGTGAGCCCGACTGGGTGGCAGAGGTAGGAGAGGAGGTAGCACTGAGAGGAGCAGCTGCTTCATCCCCAGCTGGCAAATGAGGTGCCGCAGGAGACTGAGGTACAGCGACTGCAGAAGCTGCGTCCGAAAGTGACTCAGCATGCGACTCAGCATCAGAACATGACTCAGCATCAGAACGTGACTCAGCATCAGAATGTGATTCAGCATCAGAACGTGACTCAGCATCAGAACGTGACTCAGCATCAGAACGTGACTCAGCATCAGAACGTGACTCAGCATCAGAGCGTGACTCAGCATCAGAGCGTGACTCAGCATCCGAATGTGACTCAGCATCATAAGAGCGTGACTCAGCATCATCAGAATGTGACTCGGCCTCCTCATGCTCCTCCTTAGCCTCCTTCACCTCTTTAGCTTCCTCACTCTCCTCACTCTCCCCAGCTTCTTCACTCTCCTTACCCTCCTCACTCTCCTCTCCCTCCTCCGCCCCCAACGGCTCCCTGCCCTCCACTGCTCCCAGCATCCCCTCACCCTCCTCGTCCGCTGCCGCCCCATCCACCCCTGCAAGCACCGCGACAGCCACAACTGCCGCCCCACCCATCGCTATAACCTCTACTTCAACCTCCTGCAGCCTTGCTTTATCATCACTACCCCCATCTTCCTCCGCACTCTCTGCTTTCTCACTCCCCCTCTCTTCCTCCTCTTTCTCTACATCCTCACTCCTTGTCTCTTCCTCCTCCCTCTCTGCTTTCTCACTCCTTGTCTCTTCCTCCTCCCACTCTGCTTCCACACTCCTTGTCTCTTCTTCCTCCCTCTCAGCCTCCACACTCCTTGTCTCTTCCTCCTCCCTCTCAGCATCCTCACTCCTTGTCTCTTCCTCCACCCTCTCTTGTTCCGGTGCAGAGTCAACGTCAGAGTTTGATCCTGGTGGCGATGGCAGAGCTGAAGCTTCACAGTCAGACACATGCAGAGCCACGTCAGCAGCCACATCAGCTTCTGGTGCAGAGTCAACCTCAGAGTGTGGTCCAGATGGGGATGGCAGTGCTGCAGTCTCACCTCCAGCCGCACACGGTGCCACATCAGACGACACGTCAGCAGCCACATCAGCGGCCACGTCAGCAGCCACATCAGCGGCCACGTCAGCAGCCACATCAGTTCCGAAAGAAGAGTCAGACTCGGAGTCTGATCGTGATGGAGATGGCACCACTGCAGTTTCACCTCCAGGCACTCGCAGAGCCATGTCAGCAGCCACATCAGCCACCACGCCAACAGACACATCAGCACCCATGTCAACAGACACATCAGCAGCCATGTCAACAGGCACATCAGCAGCCACGTCAGAATCAGAGTCAGGTTCAGAATCAGAGTCAGGTTCAGAATCAGAGTCAGGTTCAGAATCTGGTCCCGAAAATACATCTGCTTTCTCCTGTTCTGCTTCCACCTCCTCGGCCTCTCCTCTCGTCTGCAGCACAGGTGCAACCAACTCACTTGCCAGCAGCAAACTAGCACCTCCAGCTGCATCCAGAGCCACCTCAGCTGCCACATCAGCATCCAACTCAGCTGCCACATCAGCAGCATCTTTGATGCTGGTGGCTGACCCCTCTGGAGAAGATGGTCTGGAATCACCCTCCACGTCCACATCAGCAGGGGGTGCCACGTCAGCAGCTGATACCACATGTGCAGACTGTTCCTTATCAGCAATCACATCATCACCACCAGCAGGTAATTCTGACTTGTCACCTGCTTTGACCTCAGCTGCGTGCTTCATGTCCACAGGTTGCACCACATCAGCAACTTGCGCCACATCAGCAGCCTGCGCCACATCAGCAGAAGAGTCCACAAGTGCAGCGGAATTCAAAGATGCCTGCTGTTGCTGCTGTGGAGGTGTGAGGGGAGCCTCAGAGGCCTGCTGCTGTTGCTGCTCCTCCGGCTGCTGCTGCTGGAAGCGGTTCAGGAAGTCACTCTGCAGTCGCCCCACCGCTGCAGTTTGTGGGGGAGGAGAGGCGGCAGGCGCAGGAGCCAGTGCTGCGCTCGCCATGCCTGCCCTCCAGGCTCGGATGGGCACAGGCTTGGGCGCAGGTTCGGAGTCGGACCAGTCAGAGTCCGAGCCTGAGTCGGAGTGGGAAGAAGGCTGTGCAGGGCGGATCCAAGAGTTGGCAGCGCGGGAGGAAACTGAGGGAGCAGTAGGGGCAGTGGAAACACTAGGAGCAGAAGGAATGGTTGCGACAGTGGTGGAGACAGGGATTGAATGTGTGGCAAGGAGGGCGCTGGACACGAAAGGCTCGTCCGGCACTGCACTGCCTGTCGTGGTGGCCTCTGCCTCTGCCTCTGCCTCTGCCTCTGCTGTGCCAGCTGCTGCGCCTTCTGCGATCTCTTCTTCAGTCGACTCAAAGGCCACACCTCCTGCAATGGCAGTGCCCCCTGCTACAGCGCCAGTGCCCTCTGCCCCCCTCTCACCTCCACTCTCACTCTCAGATCCCTTCTCACTTGCACTCTCACTCTCAGCCCCCCCCTCACTTTCACTCTCACTTCCAGCATCCCTCTCACTTCCACTCTCACTTCCAGCATCCCTCTCACTTTCACTCTCACTTCCAGCATCCCTCTCACTTCCACTCTCACTTCCAGCATCCCTCTCACTTTCACTCTCACTTCCAGCATCCCTCTCACTTTCACTCTCACTTCCAGCATCCCTCTCACTTCCACTCTCACTCTCAGCCCCGTTCTCGCTTCTACTCCCACTCATACTTTCACTCACCCTGTCCCTTTCACCTTCACTCCCCCTCTCACTCACGCTTTCACTCTCCCCATCACTCAGACTGTCACTCTCTGTCTCCCTCTTACCTTCACTCTCCCTCTCACTCATGCTATCACTCTCCCTCTCACTTATGCTATCACTCTCCCTCTCACTCATGCTGTCACTCTCCCTCTCGCTCATGCTCTTACTCTCCTTCTCACCTTCGCTTTCACTCTCTCTCTCACTCATGTTATCACTCTCCCTTCCACTCATGCACTCACTTCTACTCTCACTCCCATCCTCTGCTTCACTCCCTTCTGCATGTGCATCTCTGCCCTCACCCCCCACCCTCCCTTCCGTTACCCCTTTTTCCTCCACTTTCTCCTCCACTCTCCCTTCCTCTCCCTCCTCCACCCTCCCTCCTTCAGCAACACCCTCCAGTTCCTCTCTGTGTGAAGCCTCCACTTCCTCTTGTCCCTGCCGCTCCCTCTCCCCATCCACTTCCCTCTCATCCCGTTCCTTCTCCTCCTCCTCCTCCTGCTCCTCCTTCCTACCCACATGCCTCTCACTCTCATCAGCTGGCAGATTTACTTCTCCTGCGATGTCTGCGCTGCTTCCTTGCAGACCCTCTTTCTCCTCTCTCTCCTATCCTCTCTCTCCTTATCCTCTCTCTCCTTATCCTCTCTCTCCTTATCCTCTCTCTCCTTATCCTCTCTCTCTCCTTATCCTCTCCCACCTCCTCTCCCCCCTCTTCAGCCTCCTCACTCCTTCCATCTCCATCCTCCATTCTAATCTCCTCTCCCTTGCTAACTTCATCCTCCTGCTTCTCTCCATCCCGCACCTCACCCTCACTCTCTCCATCCACCTCACCAACCCCCTCACTCCCTCCCTCACCCTCTCCCTCACTCTCTCCCTGACTCTCTCCCTCCACTCTTCCAGATCCCACAACCTCCTCCTCCCACTCACCTACACCGGACCCCACATCACTCCACTCCTCGCTCTCCCAGTCACCTCCTGCCACCAGCCCATCAGCCTGTGCTGCTGCCACCCCACCCCCTCCCACGGCCAGAGCAGCGACTGCCGGCCATGACCTCTGGGCCATGAGCGTTGCCAGAGGCCTTATCGAACCCTCTTCCTCTGCTGCTACCGCTCCTTGTGCTTGCACTCTGCCATCTGCATCATCAAGGCCTATAGACTTCTGAGGCGCCTCAGAAATTTCTACAGCGCCTTGCTCTTGCACTCTGCCGGCTGCGTTGCCAAGGGCCATAGATTGCGCTTCCTCTGATGCTCTTGCATCCTCCTCTCTGGTTTCACCCTCTTCATTCCCTTCCTTCCCACTCCCTTCCTTCTCACTCTCTTCCTTCTCACTCCCTTCGCTTTCACTCCCTTCCATATGACTCCCTCCCTCCTCACTCTTTTCTTTTTCAAACCCTTCCTCCTCGCTCTCTTCCCTCTCACTCCAGTCCTCACTCACTACTCCCTCCCCACCATCTTTGTCTGCCATCATCTCACTCTCTTCTGCCCAATTTACTGCCTCCTCAGCCGTCCTTTCTGTGCTACTCACGCTCAAACCACCAACTTCGGTAACCAAAACACCAGCCTCACTGGTTACTGAATCACCAGCATCGCTGGTTACTGCATCACCAGCATCACTGGTTACAGCATCGCCAGCATCGCCGGTGACCACATCACCGGCTTCACTGGTTACTGCATCACCAACATCACTCCACTCCTCAGATTCCTCCCACTTCTCACCCTCTCCCTCACTCTCGTCCTCACTTGCTTTCTCTTCCTTCCCATCACTCTTCCCCTCCTCATCACTCTCACTCCCCTTTCCTTCTGACCCCTCCTCCACCTCTGTCCCCCTAAGATCTTCCCACTCACCTTGATCCATTCTCGCTTCCGCAGTCTCAGGAGAATTTGCAGCACGCGGATCAGGGCTAGCACCTGAACCAACAGAGACGGCACCTGACGGCAGTGCAACAGTGACAGAACCTGACGGCAGCATAACAGACACAGCACCTGAAGGTAGCACAACTGAAACAGCACCTGAAGGCAACACAACAGAGACAGCACCTGAAGGAAGCACCTCAACAGAGGCAGATCTTTTCTCAGGTGCCGAATCAGGTGCCACATCGGGAGTAGTTTCAGGTGCCATTTCAAGTGCTTTGTCAGGTACCCTATCTGGTGCCGAATCAGGTGCTCTATCCAGTGCCATATCAGGTGAGCTGCCAGCTGGAATCGAACGTGCCTCCAAAACAGGGATCTCACATTGACGTGGAGCACCCGACCCAGCACGTGCCACGTCAGCATGATGCGCATTCGCCACGTCAGCAAGATCGGCAGCAGCAACGGAGCGCGGCACAGCAGCAGAGGTGGTAAGAGCAGGAGTGCGTTGAGACACAGGAACGGCACCACCAAGTGAGCTTCCAAAGATTCGATTTTGCTGAGTCTCTTCCGCCCATGAACCCCCACCAACAGCAGCTCGATCTTGAGGCAGCGCCATAGGACTGGCAAGGGGCAGCACAGAGGAATCACTGCCCGAGGCAAACGCGAAGGCGCTGCTCTGCCCTTGAAGCCCTTCAAGCCCCTCATCCCTTTCCCCATCCTCCTTCTCGTCTTCCTCCTCCGCCTCTTTGATTGCCAGGCCCTCTGCTTCCTGCCCCTCCTGCTCCTCCTGCTGCCCCTGTTGCTCCTGCTGCTGCTCCTGCTGCTGCTGTTGCTGCTGCTGCAGCGCCAGGCTAACCGCAACACTATCCAGAGGCGCACCCATGCCTGCACTCGTTGGGGTGGCGGAGGGCAGTGGGGAGAGAGCAGCGTAGGGGCTGGCGGAGGGGAGAGGGGAGGCGGCGGGGAAGGGGGACTGGGTGGCCGCTAGCTCCATGCTGCTCCACTCCTCCTCGCTCATGTCACTCCACTCCTCCTCCCCTTCGTCCTCTCCCTCTCTCCCTACCTCCTCCTCCTCCTCCTCCTCCTCCTCCTCCTCCTCCTCCTCCTCCTCCTCCTCCTCCTCCTCCTCCTCCTCCTCCTCCTCCTCCTCCTCCCTCTCCAGCTCCTCCTCCCTCTCTACCTCCTCCTCCCCCTCCCTCTCTACCTCCACCTCCTCCCTCTCCTCATCCCTCACCTGCTCCTCCCTCTCCTCCTCCTCCACCTCCTCCTCCCTCGCCCCTTCCTCCTCCTCCTCCCTCTCCACCTCCTCCTCCCTCTCCACCTCCTCCTCACTCACCTCCTCGTCCTCCCTCCCCACATCCTCCTCTTCCTTGACCTCTGCCCCCTTCTCTTTCTCGTCATCTCTCTCCTCTCTCAGCCCCTTCTCCTCTCTCTCTTCGCTCCCCTCTCTCTCGTCCCCTCTCTCCACTCTCTCATCCGCTATCTCCTCTCTCTCCTCACCAATCTCCTCTCTCTTGTCCTCGCTCTGCTCTCTCTCCTCTCTCTCCTCACTCTCCTCTCTCTCCTCTCTCTCCTCTCTCTCCTCCTCGTTCTGTCCGTCCAACTTGACAGCGCCACTGACAGCACCACTGGCAGCAACACTGGCAGCGCCACTGGCAGCAACACTGGCAGCACCACCTGCTATCACACCACTCGCCCCCAGCACCTCAGTCTCATCCCTCGTTCCACCCACATTCCACACCTCACTCTCCCTCGTCCAATCACCCGACCACCCCGGTATTCCCACCCCCCCATCGCCCACATCCCTGCTCCAATCCAGCTCCTCACATGCTCCCACATCATCCCCCATCTCATAAACATACGCATCCTCGCCAATCTGCCGAATAACCCCGTCCTCGCCTGTTGCTGAACGTGCCGATTCATCCTTGCTCTTTCCTCGCACACCATCCCCCATCTCGTACACATACGCATCCTCGCCAATCTGCCTCATCACCCCATCCTCGCCAGTCTGCCTTATCATCCCATCGCCTTCTATTGAACGTGACATTCCATCCTTGCCCACCCCTGCCCCGTTCTCAGCAACCGCTCTGCCTGCCGCTGCTGCTGCCGCCGCTGCTGCTGCTGCTACCTCCCTTTCATCCTGGTGCTGCTGCTGTAGCTCACCTGCTTGTTGACCAACCTGATCATTCACCTGACCATCCACCTGACCCTCTGCTCCTGGCACCTGCACCACCTGCTGCTCCTCCCCCAGCTCCTCCGTCCAATCAGCATCCACCACGTGTCCAGGGGCCACCTTCTCCTGCTGCAGAGGAGATACGATGCTGGTAACCCAGCTTGTCCCATCTTCCTCCTCATCACTCTCCACAACACCCCTTGCACCATCCCCACTCACAGCTTCTGGTGCTGGCACTATCCCTTCCCCTTCTTCTCTCGCCTCTCCCTCTGCCTCAGGCCATGCGTCACTCTCACTGCTCCACACATCCACACCATCTTCCTCACGCTCCTGCTCTCCAGCCTCTCGCTCCTCACTCTCCTGCCCTTCCACCCCTCGCTCCTCACTCCCGTGTGCTTGAGCCTCTTGGACCTCGCTCCCTTGCTCCTCGTCACTTAACCCCTCCACCCCACTCCAGCTCTCCATTGCACCACTTTCCGCTACTCCACTCTCTTCCACTACCCAACTCTCCTCCACTACCCCACTCTCTTCCATTTCCCCACTCATCCTCTCTTCCTCCCTGTCACTAGCACCACTCCCCGAACCACCGTCATAGCTGTCCCCATCCGACCTAGGGCTGCTTACACTGCTCCTCCTACTTTCCTTGCTAACACTGCTCTCCCTGCTCCTTCCCTTGCTTTTCTTGCTGACACTGCTCCCCTTGCTTACACTGCTCCCCCTGCTTACACTACTGCCCCTGCTGTGCTTGCTCTTGCTGCCACTCAAACTGCCTGTTGTGCTACCAACTCTGCCCACAGCGGCTGAAGCATCCCCACTCGCTCCACTGAGCGAGTCCTGGGTCGTCTCAGAACGCTCACTAGCAGATGTCTCCTCGCTCTTTGCAGCACTGAACGCATCGCTTTTGCTGCTACTGCTGCGAGCATGGCTGCTTGCACTCCTGCTGTGTGTGCTGCTGTGCTGACTGTGCGAGCTGCTGCGCTGACTGTGCGAGCTGCTGCGCTGACTGTGCGAGCTGCTGCGCTGACTGTGCGAGCTGCTGCGCTGACTGTGCGAGCTGCTGCGCTGACTGTGCGAGCTGCTGCGCTGACTGTGCGAGCTGCTGCGCTGACTGTGCGAGCTGCTGCGCTGACTGTGCGAGCTGCTGCGCTGACTGTGCGAGGCTGCTGCGCTGACTGTGCGAGCTGCTGCGCTGACTGTCAATGCTGCTGTGGTGGCTGTGCACGCTACTGCTTACACTCACTGCACTGCTATGTTTGGAACTCGTGCTGCTGTATTTGCTATGGCTTCTGCTGCTTTTCGGACTCTCACTCCCTCCCTCACTCATCCCCTCACTCACTCCCTCACTCACTGTCTCACTCACACCCTCACTCGCTACACTCTCAGTGTCATCCTTCGCACTACTGCCTTCGCTGTGACTTCCACTCACACTATCTTTTCCACTCCCCTCGTTTTCACTAAGGGTCACACTTTCCCCATCACTCTCGCCCTTACTATGCATTTCACTCTCACGCTCACTAACATGCTCACTCTCATGATCACTCACACTCCTCCCCACACTCTCATGCACACTCTCATGCTCACTCAAAGTCTCCTCCACCACTCTCTCACGCTCACTGTCACTCCTCTCTCTCTCACCACTGCTATCAGAACTGCTCCTCATGCTGTTGGCTTTCTCGCTCGCTCGTTCACTCCCACTCTGACTCCTACCACATGCAGCACTGTCAGCAGCGCTGCTTTTGACACTGCCAGTAACACTGCTCGTAGCACTTTCGGTAGCAGTGCCGGTGGCACTGTGCTTGCTCCTCGTTTCACTCCAACTGCCACTATCACTCTTGCTCAAGCTCCCTCTCTCACCTTCACTACCTTCCTCACTCGCTTTCTCACTCGCACCAACACTCGCTGTCTCCACCTTTCTCTCAACCAAATGGTCACTCTGTCGCTCACTCACACTACTCCTCCCCGACCGCTTGCTTCCACCCCCACTCACACTCCCACTCCCAACTCTCCTCTCACTCCCTTCCAAGCTCAGTCCCTCACTCACACTCTCATCCACACTCCCCCTCGCCACACTCTCATCTCTGCTCCTACTGCTTGGACCACTGCTGTGACTCCTCCTCGCGCTCCTGCTCCTACTGCTATGTCTACTGCTGTGTCTGCTGCTATGCCTACTGCTGTTCCTGCTGTGTCTGCTGCTGTGTCTGCTACTGCTTCTGCTTCTGTTACTGCTTCTGCTTCTGCTATGGCTCAAGTGTCTCCTATCTCTGCGTTTGCCACTGCTGATGCTGCTCCCAAGGCTTTCTCCCTGTGACCCCTCCTCACTCGCCTCACTCCTCTCCCTCCTCACCCTCTCTCTCTCACTCCCACTCGCCTCTGTTCCACTCTCACTCCCCTCGCTCCCACTTCCACTGCCACTGCTCCCACTTTCGCTCCTACTCCCACTATCGCTCCGACTCCTGCTCCTGCTCCTGCTTCTGCTCAAGTCAACACTGAAGCTCAGGTCAATACTGCTCACCCCGCTGCCACTACGCCTGCTGCTAACTCCCCCCTGCGGGCTCGTCTGTGCCATTTCCATCTCTGCCACCTCTATCCATCGCTCAATCTCCTTCCTCTTCTCCCCATCCTCCTCATCCTCCTCCTCCCCATAGCCTTCCTCCTCCTGCTCCTCCTCTTCCTCCTTTTCCTCCCCCTCTTCCTCCTCCTCATGCCCGTCTTCATGCTTCCTTGCCTCCTCCCTCAGTCCCTCTCCTCCCTCCTCACTCATTTCCTCTTCCACCCTCCGTCCCTCTCCCACCTCCTCTTCATCATCCTCCTCCTCCTCGTCCTTCGCAGCATGTGTTGCTTTCTTGAACACCACTACCACTCTCTCCCCATCCTCCAAACTCCCCTCCTCGCTAATACCTGCAACCTCCTCCTCTACTTCCTCCTCCTCCTCCTCCTCCTCCTCTACCTCCTCCTCCTCCTCTAACTCCTCTTCCTTCTCCTCCTCAGCATGTGTTGCCTTCTTAAACACGACCACCACTCTTTCCCCATCCTCCAGACTCCCCTCCTCGCTAATACCTCCAACCTCCTCCTCTACCTCCTCCTCCTCCACCTCCTCCTCATCTTCTACTTCCTCCTCCTTCTCAGCATGTGTTGCCTTCTTAAACACAACCACCACCCTCTCCCCATCCTCCAAACTCCCTTCTTCACTATTATCACCAGCAATCAACTCTTCCTCTTCTCCTGCCTCCCAACCCTCCTCCTCACCAGCATAACTGCTTGTCTGGCTGGCCATTTGACTTCCTGTCAGAATCGCATCCCCAACCACACTGCCTAGCAACACGTCATCTTCATCCTCCCCATCATCTTCATCCTCCCTCTCATCCTCCCCCTGGTCCCTCCTCTCACCAGTTCTCGGCCGGTTAAACACCACAACCACCCTCTCGTTGTCCTCATACTCGTTATCAACATCCTCAGTATCCGTATCCAGAGGGCCCTCAGTCAGTGACCCATTCTCAGTCGTGGACTCTCCCACCACCTCCTCTTCCTCCTCATCCGTTTTCCCCTTGGTTGCTGTCTTAAACACCACTACCACCCTCTCATCCTCCTCCTCTTCCTCCTCCTCCTCCTCTTCTTCTACCCCTTCCTCCTCCGTTTCTTGATCCTCATACACACTACCATGGATGTCCCCCGAATCATCATTCTCTTCACTATCGTGTACCCCATCAGATAAGACATGAGATGCCACCGCACCATCATCCCCACCACCAATATTATCACTGTCTGCTCCTGCTTTTCCACTCACCTTGACCCTCTCACCCTCATCCTCCACTCCCCCGACAGTCCCCCTCTCCTGCTCCAAATCCCTTGGCACATCCCACTCTCCACTCTCCTCCTGTGTGCTACGCCCACGTGTCACAATACCAGCACCTGCCACATCATCTTCAGCATTGTACAGCGCGTGCTCACTCAAATCACTCGCCACGTCAGCAGAGTGATCCGCACTGCCCCTATCACTCTCCTCCACGTGGATCTCAGCAGCTCGGGTTGCAGTTTTGAACACCACAACCACCCTCCCATCCTCCTCTTCGTTCTCCTCCTCCTCCTCTTCGTTCTCCTCCTCCTCCTCTTCCTCATGCCCGTCCTCCCTATCCTCAACCTCCAAACCGCCCTCCTCTTCTTCCTGTTCCTCATACTCTTCCCCAACCTTGCCACTCACACTCTCTCCCAAATTGTCATACAATAGCATCTGTGAGTCTTGTGACGCACCACCCATCCGGCCCTCTCCCCCCTTATACGCATCCACCTTGCCATTCATATTTATACCCTCCTCATCTATATCCTCATCCCTGTCCTCGTGTGTATCCTCACGTCTCTCTGCATGTCTGTCGGCATGTCTATACCCGAACGCGCCCGCCCCTCTCATCTCCCAGTAATTCCCCATCACCTCTCTCCACACATCCATCCTCGCTTCCCTCTCCTCCTCACCCTCCTCTCCTCCCCTTCCTGCCTCCCGCTCCTCCCTCACCGACCTAAAACTCCCCATACTCCCCCTCAACATCCTCCCTGCGCTCCCAACACTCCCAAAGCTCCCAGTCCTGCCCAGCCCAATGCTTCCAATGCTGCCAGTCCTCCCTACCCCAACACTCCCCAAGCTCCCCACACTGTTATGAGCGGTCCAGAACGGTGACAGCTCACCATCTAGAGCGTCCATCAGGTCTCCCAATTCCGCCTCCACAGACCGGGTGCTCTCTCCCTCACTCACTCCCTCACTCACTCCCTCACTCGCTCCCTCCCCCTCACTCATCCCCAGGCTAGTCACATCACTAAGAGACCCGCCCCTCCCTCGGGATCTGCTTCGGAGGGACGAGACTTCCGAGCCTGACCCCAGGGAAAAACCTCTCCTTCTCCTCCCCGCTGCACCAGCAGCAGCAACACCACCACCACGAGTGATATCACTAACAGTACCAGCGCCAGCAGAAGCAGCGCCACTGAAACTGGTTGCAGTGGTGGGGGCCCAGAGGACACTCTCCATCCCATTGGAATGCCGGCTGCTAATGCTAGCCATGCTCTGCTGCCTGCTTTGCTGCCTGCTCTGATGCTTGTTCTGCTGCATACCCCACTGTCCACTCTGCTGCTCGCTCTGCTCCCTGCTCCACTTCCCACTATGCCAAGAGCTCGTCTGAGAGGCACGGGTCTTAACACGAAGCCACGGCCTTGCCTCTCCATCCTCCTCCCCCTCCGTGTCTGACTGGGGCAACGAATGCCTCTGATACTTGTACGCGTGGTGATTGTCGTGGTTATGGGGGTGGGGGTGAGCATGGGGGTGGGCGTGGGTGTGGGATTGAGATCGAGAGTGGGAGTGGGAATGAGATTGGGATTGAGAGAGGTTTCGCACATCCCCATCAAAGCTCATTCCCAGAGCATCACGAGCCACAGCCGCTGCCACAGACTGATGAGACCATGACTGTGACTGTAACTGTGACTGTGACTGTAACTGTGGTTGCAGTGGCTTCTGATTTGACTCTAGATTCCCCATAGCCGCCCGTGCCAATGACTGACTGAGAGCATGCGCAAACCTCGCATCGGCTATCCCTGAACGCCCATCACCCACACTCATTCTCCCATCACCCACAATCATTCTCCCATCACCCACGCTCATTCTCCCATCACCCACACTCATTCTCCCATCACCCATACCAGACCTCCCATCGGCCATACCCGGCATGCCCCCACCACCACCACCATCCATGCTGCTTGCTAGACTATCCGCCACACTGCTCCCATCGCCCTCCCCCTCGTTTTTCAGAATTCTCAGAAGCGACACCAGGCTATCCCCCACACTCACACTGCTCCCATCCCCCACACTGCTCCTGTCTCCCACACTGCTCCTATCGCCGTCCCTCTCACTCCCACTCGCCACCACCAGCCTCTGACTCCCCCCCACAACCCCCTCTCCCCCTTCCTGCCACGGCCCACAGGCTATCACTGCTCCTGATTGTTCACTGCCTCCCAGCCCATACTCAATCCCTGCTTCCCCCACATTATCCCCCTCCCCATACCCCATTCCCGCTGCTCCCCCACCCCCCTCCCCATACTGCATCCCTGTCCGTGTACCCTGCTCCCCATACCCCATCCCCACTGCGCCCACACCCCCTTCCCCATACCCCTGCATGACCGCACGCCACACCTCCAAACCGCTCTCCGTCCCAGCTTGATCAGCAGCAGCAAAGTGAGGGTCAGTGACAGCCCACCCCCCAGGGCCGTGGCTCAGGCTGCGACCGTGACTTACAGCCTGCCTGTAATACGAGTGGGAGGGGCTTGCAGCGTGCCTGTGGGACTGGGAGCGCCCTACAGCTTGGGCGTAAAACGCAGCCCCGTCAGTAGGGGGGGCGAAGAAGGCCGCATGCTCAGTTGGTGGGCCGTAAAACGCAGTTGCCCCTTCAACGGGGGTGTAAAACGCAGCCCCCTCAGTCGCTCCACGCGAGTGGCCCCTGCTGACAGCAGCTCTCCCGTGGTGCTGCTGCTGCTGCTGCCTGCTGTTCTCCCCAGCCATGCCGGGCATGGGTGTGACTGTAGCGCGCACACCGGGCATGAGTGTAGCTGTGGCACGCACATCAGGCATGTCGTGCACGCCAGGCATGGGCGTTGCTGTGGCGCGAACGCCGGGCATGGGAGTAGCTGCAGCACGAACACCTGGCATGGGCGTCACTGTCCGGGAGAGCGCGGCAGAAGCTAAAACAGGAGGAGGCGCAGCAGCAGCAGCAGCAGGTGGATAGGGGGAGGGGTGATGGACACCAGGCATCGGCGTGACTGCCCTGGAGGAGAATGCTGAACCAGCAGCACCAGCAGCACTAGCAGCACTAGCAGCACTAGCAGCACTAGCAGCGGGATGAGGAGGATGGGGAGCAGGTGGAGGAGGGAAGCTTGCAGCAGGTGAAATCCCAGGCATTGGCGTCACTGCCCTGGAGAATGAAGCAGTAGCAGTAGGGGCATTAGGGGCACTAGCAGCACTAGAAGCAGGTGAAATCCCAGGCATGGGCGTCACTGCCCTGGAGAAAGCAGGAGGAGGAGGAGGAGGAGCAGGAGGAGGGGGGAGGCCAGGCATGGGCGTGAGAGTGCGGGAGAACGAAGGAGAAGCGGTTGCAGAGGGAGGAGCAGTGGAGCCCGCTGCAGGAGAATGGAGACCAGGCATGGGTCTGGTGGCACGAGAGAATGTTGCAGGAGCAGCAGCAGGAGCAGCAGGAGAATGCACACCGGGCATGGGTGTTACTGCCCTGGAAGGATGAGGAGCAGGAGCAAGAGCGGCATGCACACCGGGCATGGGGGTGGTGGAACGAGAGAACGCTGCAGGGGCAGCAGCAGAAGGAGGAACAGGAGGAGGCAAAGCAGAAGCAGCATGCACTCCCGGCATGGGAGTAGCGGCACGGGAGGCAAAGGCGGGAGTAGCAGCGGGCAAAGCAGCACGAGAAGCACCACCACCGGGAACGGGATGAGGAGGAGGAGGAGGAGGAGGAGGTAAGCCAGAAGGACGGACACCCGGCATGGGTGTTCCTGCTCGTGAGAACATGGAAGGTGCAGCAGAAGACGGAGCAGCAGCGGCAGCAGGCCCTGACGCAGCAGCACGGATGCCAGGCATTGGCGTCCCTGTACGGGAGCGAGGAGCAGGCACACCTGCGGCAGAAGCAGCATCAGCATCCGCCTCCTTCAGGGCCTCCAAGCCCTCTAGCCCCTCTCCTCCCTCTGCTCCCTCTAGTTCCTCTAGTCCCTCCAGACCCTCCAGTTCCTCCCGTCCCTCTAGTCCCACCAGCCCATCTCCGCCTGTGGCAGCAACAGCATGCCAGAAGGGCAGCGAGTGCCCATCCACAGCATGCATCAGCTCTGCTAGCTCGCCCTCCACGGAGCTCCCCTGCCCACTCCCTCCCCCATCGCTCCCCCCCTCGCTCCCTCTATCGCTTCCCCTCTCACTCCCTCCCTCACTCTCCCCCTCACTCCCTCCCTCGCTCCCTCCCTCACTCCCTACCCCCTCGTATCGCAACGCACCCCTGTCACGGCCCTCTCTACTCTCGCTCCTCCCACCCACGCGGACCCCGATCCACGAATCCTCCTCTTCCGTCCCGCCCTCGACTCCACCCCCCACTTCCCCTGCCCCTGCCCCTGCCTCTGCCCCTGCCTCTGCCCCTGTTGCTGCACCTTCCTCTTCCCCTTCCTCCCCACCTCCTCCCCCTGCCATACCAGGCATGGCATCCCCTAGACTGCCACTGGAACCCCTCAGGTCATCGTCCCTCAGGTCATCACCCCTCAGATCGTCCCCTCTCACATAAATATCACTTTCCTCCTCCTCATCGCTCCCCTCCTCCTCCTTACTGCTCCCCTCCTCCTCGTATTCATCCTCTGCCGTTCTTTCCCCTCCATCCTTCAACTTCTGGACCTGCATTGTCCCGATTGCCGTCCCCTCACCCAGCCAGCTGTCCTGCTCAACCTCGCCACTCATGCCACTGTCGCTCTCCCCCCTCTCACTCTCCTCCCACTCACTCTCCTCCCTCTCGGTCACACCCGTCTCACTCTCACCCTTCTCACTCCCCCCCTCTGCATCACTTGTTGCTGCCACTACCATTGCACGCTCTCCCTTCAAACCCAATCCTACACCCTCAATCTCCGCCCCCACACCCTCAATCTCTGCCCCCACACCCTCAATCTCCGCCCCCACACCCTCAATCTCCGCCCCTACACCTTCGATCTCCGTCCCTGCTACGTCTGCTGCTTTCCCTGTCGTCGTCTCCACCTCCCTTAAGTTCGCCCCTTCTTCCTCTCTGCTCCTTCCTACCCTCTCCATCTCCCCATCCCTTTCAAACGTGCCTTGGTCCTTTACAATCATTCCACTCTCCTCCTCTTCCCCCTCTTCTTCCTCCTCTCTTTGACTCACTTCTGTCTCCTCCTCTTCTTCTCCTCCTTGCTTCTTTTCCACCTCCCGTTGAATCAACTCCTCCCTACTCTCTCCCCCCACCATTCGCCCTATTCTCAACTCCTCCCTACTCTCTCCCGCATCCTGCCGCATAGCCACACTCTCTCCGTCTTCCACTCTCTCTCCCTCCTCCTCGATACTAGGACGGCCATCTGCCTGCTTCCCTGCAGGACTCGCTTTTTGAGACGTCTCCAAAGTCATTACAGCTTCAGCTCCCCCAGCTTTCTTCGTCTCCTCCTCCACCTCCTCCTCTTCCTCCTCCTCTTCTTTTTCCTCCTCTTCCACCTCTTCCTCCTCTCCACCCCCCAGCGACTTAACAGTGTACCAGCGGAGCAAGCTCGACACCACAGGACCTTCCGATGACCTGCATCCGAAAAGAAAAAAGGTATTTTTTTTAATATATATTTATATAAATTACCGACCAATTAGTACCCAAGACTGAATTGAAACTTCTGGGCTGACTGTAAAAGGAAGACGAAAAAACGAAACTGAGACACAGAAGAGAAGAAAAACAACTGAGACGAAGTAAATACATAAACTCGGATCTTTTTTTTTCTGATAAGGGGTAGACAGGCAACTCACTCCAGGAGACCATTGGTGAGAGCGGCTTCCTCCAGCATCTTCATGCGCTGATGGGTGTGAAGGAGGAGGGAGAGGCAGGGGAGGGTGGGGAAAGGGCGGGGAGGGTAGGAGGGATTTCAGCAAGAAGGAGATTATTGGTGAGAGCGGCTTCTTCCAGCATCTTCATGCGCTGATGGGTGGCTCATGGGAGGGAGGAGGAGATGAAGGGGGACGAGGGGGGAGGGTAGGAGGGAGGGGGTAGGAGGGAGTTGAGCAGGGAGAGAATTGGATAGAAATCGGTACAGCACGTATGAAGCTGAAGAAGGCCATTGGTGAGAGCGGCTTCTTCCAGCATCTTCATGCGCTGATGGGTGGCTCATGGGGAAAGGATGCGGGGGAAAAGGGAGATCGATTGTTCAGCAAGAATAGTGGTCGCTGGTCAGAAAGATTCTAAAAGAAAGAAAAGAAGCTGCTTCTGCCAGCACTGCTACCACCCACCATTGTTGCCAGCAGCACTAGCAGAACAAAATCGACACCAGCACTGCCAGTCTGCCAGCGCCACTCACCACAGCCTCCTCGTTGGCTTCAGAAGCAGAGAGGGCAGGTCGAGAGGCAAACAGTGTAAAGAAGCTGCTCCTGCCACCACCCGCACCAGCACCGCCTCCCTTCCCTCCCTGCGTGAGAGTGGCAGCAGCCCAGCCGAACCACCCCGTGCGACGCTTAGTTAAGTCCCTGCCTGGTTGCCATGCTATGGGGGTGCTGGCAGGTTGAGAGGAGAGGCAGAAGGCATGGGAGTGAGGCGAGCAAAGATAGGAGATGCCGAGGTTGACGGAATGTCCGAGGAAAGGCTTGGGATAATGATGAAAACGGGCAACAGATATGGTGGGTGGAGTGAAGGCCATATCACATGGCAAGGAGGGGATTCACATTCAATGCTTGCTTATATTGCAGCATATACCAGAGATAAGACATGATGATTAAGTCATCATTCATTCATATCACACGTACCAGTGAATCGACATGATGATTGGGTCAGCCTTGGGGTTTCTCGCTACAGCAAAGACGCGGCTCAGCTGCACGCGATAAGGGGTTTCGGGTTCAGGGGTTGGGGATTCGGGATTGAGGAGGATCGAGGGTTTGGAGTTTAGCGTAGGGGGGTCATACCAAGCCAGATCAGACTCGAATTTTCGGAAGCAGGAAAAGCACTGGCATGAAATCAAACCGAATGAGGAAGAACAATGGGCAAAATCTGAAACGGCAGTAGACGTGCATGAAGGTAGGTAGGCAGGTAGGTAGGGCATACGTATTCATTGGTGAAGAACGGATTGGCGTCAAAGAGAAAGTCCACGCGGAAATCCTGGAGACAGGTGATAAGGACAGTCACAGTAATACAACCCAAGCAATAGTTGCATCTGAAAATGCAAGGGTGCGGCGGCAAGGTTTGGTTGAAAAAAAAAAAAAGCGCGACGTCACACAACATTCTGTCATGCCTCACAAACACAGCCATAAATCATGGTGCCCAAAACCCGAAACCCGGAACCGCGAAGCCTAAACATCACACACCATGCTGTGTTGCGACTTGTAGAAGTCCACGGAGCACAGGAACTGCAGCGCACCCATGTCCTGCTCCGTCATCTGCAAAGCGGCAGACAAGAAAGAATCAGGCAGGTTGGGAAGTGCAGGGAAGGTGAAAGATCAGGCAGCTGTGATGCAGGGGCCCACGGAGCATAGGAACTGCAGGCCACTGCAGCAGTGCAGTGCAGTGCATGGCACCAGTTCCGATGGCACCAGTTCCGATGGCACCAGTTCCGACAGCACTGCATGGCTCTGCAGCACCTTCAGCCATGTTCTGCGCTGCACCGACTAGCTTGACACTTGTTACATCACTCTGGGACACCCTTACAAGTCTTAAAACCATACCATACCACCCAGCACCACACACTCACCAGTTCTGACAGCACCGCATGGCTCTGCAGCACCTCCAGCCACGTCCTGTGCCGCACCGGAGTCACCGGCCTCGCGTCGGGTGTCCTTGCCATCAGTGCTGCCAGCGACACGTCAGCAGCCTTTGCTGCAGCAGCAGCCTTGGTCACGTTAGCAGACTGTGCCACGTCAGCAGGTTTCACCACGTCAGCAGGCTTTGCCACATCCGCAGGCTTGGCAGCTGCTGCAGTAGCAGGCACTGCTGCTGCTACTGCCACTGGCTCTGCTGGTGCTGCCACTGTTACCGGCTCAGCTGCTGATGCTACTGCTGCTGAAACTGGTGCTACTGCCACTGCTGCTGCCGCTACCAGTGCAGGTGCTGCTGGTGTGCCATCTCCAGCTGCCACTGACACAGGCACTTCCTCTTCTTCCACTTCCTCTTCAGATTCTGCCGATACTTCACTGAGATTTTCATCAAGACTCAGAGGTGCTGCTGCTGTCACTTTTTCAGCTGCCATTGACACAGGCAATTCCTCTTCTTCCACTTCCTCTTTGGACCCCGATTCACTTCCACTACCACTGAGCTTCTCGTAGTGGCTCTCATCCTTCACACTCACCATTCCCTCACTCGCAGCCTCCTCTCTCTCACTTCCACTCCCGACGATACTCCCTCTTTCACCACCCAACCCCTCCCCGCCGCTGATATGTTCGCTCCACACACTCCCCTCACTCTCATTTTCTTCCACTTCCTCACTCTCCTCGCTCCCATGTTCTTCCACTCCCTCACTTCCCACGCTCCTGTCCGGCTCGCTTCCTTCCCTACTGCGTGCTCCCTCTGCTTCCTCTTCTCCCCCTTCAAGAATCACATCTTCTTCTCCCAGTATACTCCCTCCTCCCACCACACTCTCCCCTCCAAACACACTCCCTCCACCCGCCACACTCTCCCCCCCAGCCACACTCTCCACCTCTATCAGCAGACTGTCTACCCTCACTCCCTCACTCCTCCCCACCACACTCCCCCTCCCCACCACACTCCCCCTCCCCACCACACTCGCCACACTCGCCACCTCTATCAGCACCCCTTCCTCTGTCACCACACTCTCTCCATCCACCTCCAACCCCACCCTTTCACTCCTCCCATCTGCTTCTGTCTCTGTTTCTGCCTCGGTTTCTGTCTCAGCATATGTTGAACCCGCCGCTCCTCCCTCCCGTGCCACACTCATCGTTCCTACTGTACTTAGTTCCTCACTCTCACTCACTCCACTCTCACTCTCTCCACTCTCACTCTCTCCACTCGCACTCTCCCCACTCTCACTGTCCCCACTCTCACTCTCCCCACTCTCACTCTCCCCACTCTCACTCTCCCCTTCGCTCGACCCATCCTCTTTCTCTGACTCCTCTCCCTCACTCCCTGAGTAGCTGGATCGGGTCACTGCATCTGTCTCCGTCACACTACCCTCACTCTCCTCCCCGCTCTCCTCCCCACTCTCCTCCTCACTCTCCCCACTCCCTCCCTCACTCTCTCCCTCACTGCTCCCTGTCTCCTCACTGCTTCCCTCACTTCCTTCCGCGCTCAGACCACTTCCATCAACACTTTCCCCCTCACTCTCAACATCACTCTCAGCCTCACTCCCATAATCACTCCCCCCCACACTGCTCCTGCTCTCTTCTCCACTACCACTCACACTCTCCGCCTCACTCGCCCTTGCATCCCCTTCACTACCCTCTCTCTCTCCCTCACCCCCTTCTCCCTCAAATGCACTCCCCTTGTAACCACTATCCGCCACAAAACTCTCCTCCCTCCCCACTACCCCACACTCACTACCCCTCCCAGGCAGCTGTACCGGACTTTCATCCTGACCACCTTCCAAGCCTCCCTCCAAACCTTCTTCCAAGCCTCCATCCGAGCCTTGTTCCGAGCCTCCTTGTAGCCTCTTTCTTTGTCGCATGCTTGCAAGCACCCATGCCTCTGTCGCTACCACTCCTTCCCCTCTCTCCACACCCCTCTCCACCCCTCTTTCCACCCCTCTTTCCATCCCTCCTCTTTCTGCACCAACTGCCGTTGATACAGCTTTCTCAGGTGACTCATTCGCCCTGGTTGACTCTGTTGACTCCCTTGACTCGGGCCGGCTGGAGCCCTGAGAGCTCCCTGCACCACCGGGGACTAAGGCCGGAGGGACCAACCCTGCACCACCACCATACTTGCCTTTCCCACTCTCATCAACATCGGCATCAGCAACAGCACCAGCATCAACACCAGCGCCGGCATGAGTAGGAGCGTCAGCATCAGCATAGGCATCGTGCCTGGATCCAGCCGACATGGTATCAGAGTCAGCCGACAATCCATGCACCAGAGCGCCTACGGGGAAAACCCCATCCCGGGCCCCTTCAGTCCTTTCGTCCCCTTCAGTCACTTGAAGCCCTTGAGTCTTTTTAGGCACCTGTGCTGGCAGCGGCTTCTGAGCTCGTGGGTCCAGAGGGTGGAGGACTGCAGGAGAGGGAGCAGCAGTAAATTGGGGGCGATGAGAGGCTTTAGCATGGGTGGTGGTAGGAGCGGCTGTAGCAAAGGTGGTGGGAGAGGCTGTTGTAAGGGCAGGTGGAGAGGTTGTAGTGTGAGGAGGCACGGAAACTGGATGTGCACGTGGGTCCATTGGGTGGAGGATAGAGGGGATGGGTTCAGGGGGGTGACAAGGGAAGGGGAGAGAACTCTGGGGTGGATGGAGAAGGGGAATACTGGGGAGGAGGGGGAGGATGCTGGGACGGATGGGGTGGGTAGTGAGGAGGAGAAGACTGGTGATAAGGTGTGGGGAGGGGAGGTGCAGGAGCAACAGGGGGAGCGGTCTTCCTTCCAACAGCAGCAGCTGCTGCTACTGCAGGGGCTCGTGCAGGCTCTATAGGTGCAGGTATTGCTGCTGCAGGTGCTACTAGTGGTGGTGGTGCTACTGGTGCAGGCACTACTGGTGCAGGCACTACTGGTGCAGGCGCTACTGGTGCAGGCGCTACTGGTGCAGGCGCTACTGGTGCAGGCGCTACAGGTGCAGGCGCTACTGGTGCAGGTGCTACTGGTGCAGGCGCTACTGGTGCAGGTGCTACTGGTGCAGGTGCTACTGGTGCAGGCGCTACTGGTGCAGGTGCTACTGGTGCAGGCGCTACCATAGGTGGGGCGACTGGCAGCGGTACAGCTGCTGCAGGCCCTGCTGCTGCTGAAGGAACGACCGGCTCTGTAACAGCTGCAGCAGCGGCAGAAGCACCAGCAGCACCATCAGCACCATCAGCGGGAGCGGCAGTGGCAGCAGTGGCAGGCGAGGTGCCCCAGAGGGGACGGAAGAGGGAGGTCCACGCAGAGACGCCTCGGGAGGGAGAGGAGCTGGTACTAGGCTTGGGAGAGACGGCTGGGGACACTGCTGGAGATGCAGCTAGGGTTGCAGCGGAGGTGCCGGCAGGGGGTGCAGGTTGGGCACTAGCAGGGGAGGCAGCTGGAGGAACAGCAGGGGCTAGGGCAAGAGAGGCGGCTGGAACAGCCTTGGATGGCTTGCCAGTAGGCACCACTGCAGCAGCTGCTGCTGATGAAGCTGCTGCTTGTGACGTTGCTGCTTCTGCTGTTCCAGGTGGACGCTGCTCCTGATTGGTCAGCAGCCTCGTAGTGTAGTGCTCGCTTTCTTGCACTGGTTGGGGACCTGCAGACAAGACAGTAGCAGCAGAGGCAGCAGGAGGGGCAGCAGGAGGGGCAACAGCCGAGCCAGCAGGAGGGACAACAACCGAGGCAGCAGCAGGAGGGGCAACAGTCGAGCCAGCAGGAGGGGCAACAACGGAGGCAGCAGCAGCAGGAGGAAGAGGAGCAGCAGAGGCAGCAGGGCCAGGCGAAGCACATGCAGGTGCGGCAGCAAGCACAGGCGAAGCAGACACAGGCGCTCCAGGTGCAGAAGCAGCAAGCGCAGCAGAAGCAGAACCAGGGGATGATGGCCGGTAAAAGGGAGAGGGAAACTCACCTGTAGGCCGAGGGCCAGCCATATCAGACGCGCTAGTGGTAACGGCGATTGCACTGTGGGGGGTAGACCCTCCAGAGGACCCTCCCGTGCTCTGTGGAGTGCTGGCAGCAGACCCAGTCGCTTGGGCGAAGGGGTGGGGCGAGGCGGAGGAGGAGGGGCGCAGGGGCTGGGGGCGCTTGAAGGAGCGGCGCAAGGCGAGGGAGGGTGGAGACGGCTGAAGAGAGGGCGTGGTGGGCGGCTGTGGGTGGTGGAACCTCTGCGGGGGAGCTGCTGGAAAAGCTGGGGTTGTGGGGGAAGCTAGAACTGCTGGGACTGCTGGGGTTGCTGCGGGTGCTGGGATTGCTGCGGCTGCTGGGGGTGCTGGGGGTGCTGGGCCAGTTAGGGCAGGTGGGGCAGGTGGGGCAGGTGGGGGAAGCTGCAGCAGCTGCAGTAACTACTGCAGCAGCGGGCACAGCAGCAGAAGCTTCATCTTCTGATGAGAAACCGTACTCCTCCTCCTCTCCCTTTGCCCCTCCCCCTCCTCCTCCTCTTCCCTTCCCCCTCCCCCCTCCTCCTCCCCTTCTTCTGAATCATCCTGTTCCTCCTCACTGCCGTGCACCCAGGCTTCCTCCGAACCACTCCTAACCGAATCCCTTGCTTCTTCCTCCACCCACTCCTCCTCCTCCTCCTCGTGCCTTCCTCCTTCGCTCTCACTCTCCCTCTCACTCTCTCTCTCACTCGCACTTCTGGAACCATACTCATCCTCCTCTTGCGACTCTTCCCCTCTCTCACTCGCCGACTCATACTCCTCCTCACCCTCCCCACTCTCCTCCTCCTCTCTCCTCCCATCTCCCACACCCACTCCACTCCTATCAGACCCCCAAAATCCCTCACTCCCCTCCTCACTCCCCTCCTCACTCCCCTCCCCACTCCCCTCACTGCCTTCAGACTGCCCGCTCCCCTGTGAATCCTGCTGCGACAGAACCTTCAGCTGCCCCTTCAGCTGCCCGAGCACTGCATCAAACCGCCTCTTGCTCTCTGCTCGAAGCATCTTTGCCGCCCTCTCCTCCTCCTCGCTCCCAAAACTCTCCCCTCCTTCTTCCTCGGTATCATCCTCTCCCTCTGACATCCCATCCTCCTCTGACCTGTCACCCTCTGACCTATCCCCTTCTGAACGCCTGTCACTTTCTGTGCTTTGCCCTGCTTCTGAGCTCCTGTCGTCTGTAAACACACTCTCCTCCTGCTCCTCCTCTTCGTCTTCTTCCCCTTCTGATCCCCTCTCACTTTCTGACCTCCTGTCGCTCTCTAAACTCCCTTGTCCCTCTGAGCTCCTATTGTCTGTAAACACACTCTCCTCCTGCTCCTCCTCCTCCTCCTCTTCATCCTCATCCTCAATTGAGCTTCCCTCCTCCTCCTCCTCCTCCTCCTCAGTTGCAGTAACACCCTCACTGCCTTCCTCCTCATCATCATCCTCTTCCTCCTCCTCCTCCTCCTCCACCTCCTCTTCCTCTGAACTAGGCTCTTGGGAGCTACCCCCCACCTTCACAGTGAGGGGTCTCTTCCATCCAGGCGACCGCATCGCATCCGCCAATGACGCAGCGCCACCTGTTGGCGTCCCAAGCTGATGGCTGGGGCTAGCAGCACCACTTGCAGTAACATTAGCAGCACCAACAGCAGCATTATTCGCACTCCTCACACTCTCGCTCTCTTTGCTCCCTTCACTCCCACTATCAATATCGCTGTACCTCTCACTGCCCTTCTTGCTGAATCCCTCACCCTCCTCCTCAGACCCCTCACCCGTACCCTCATATTCCGAATCGCTCTTCTCTGATTCGCTTCCCTCTGACTTGCTCCTCACCGACCTGCTACCCTGCGACCCACTAGTACGAGACCTACTAGCTTGAGAGCTGCTCACACGAGACTTGCTAGAGTGGGATGTACTAGCAAGGGACTTGCTAGCATGAGACCCACTCCCATCAGACCCACTCTTGCTTCCCAGCCGAGACTGGCTTCCCACTGATCCCTTACTGAGCGACTCATTAGGAGGCGACTCTGTGCCCGGGGACTGGCTTGCAGCAGAGGGCCTCCGGCTTGCTTCAGAGGGGCTGCAGCTTGCAGCAGTCCCGTTTTTGCTCGCTCCCGCTCCTCCTGAAGCATCGGATGCTGACCTGGAACGGTGCGATGCTGACCTGGAATGATGTGATGCTGACCTGGAAGCATGTGATGCTGACCTGGACGCGTGAGAACCTGACCTGGACATCTTCTCTGACTCTGATTCGCCAGATTCCGATCCTGAAACCTCTGAAGCAGACGCTTGGGTGAGTGTAGTATGAGGGCTGGTTGTGTGGGAACCAGAGTGGATGCTTCCTTTCTCTGAGCCACCTTCAGACTCGGAACCCTCACTGCTCTGTGAATGGTGTGGGAGTGGGAGTCATATGTTCCAGACACTGCTGAGCTGTGACTTGCACTCTCATCGCCATCACTCTCACTACCCTCACTCTCACTCCCCTCACTCTCATCACTTCCACTCCTGCTGCTCCCTCCACTACCACTCTCCTCACTCCTACTCTCCTCATCCCCACTCCCCTCACTCCCACTCTCCTCGCTCCCACTCATGCCCGACTCACTTGCCTCCATCTCTGTCCCATCTGTATCACTCCCCATACTCTCACTCCCCGCTCTCTTCCTCCTACTCATCTCACTCCTCCCCATCTCACTCCCAATCTCACTCATCCCTCGCACGCTCGACAAGTCTTCCCGGGTCCCACTGGTTCGAGACCCTGTTACAGTCACCACCTCTATAAGCACAACATCATCACTGTACCCTCCTCTGCTCCTGCTCGCTGCACTCCTGCTCACCGCCTCACTCCCCTCCATACTATCACTATCCTCCATAGTATCACCATCTTCCACACTCTCTGTCACATCACTCCCTTCGCTCTCCTCACTCTCTTCACTCTCCTCACTCCCCTTGGATAAGCTATCTTCCTCATACGAGCTACCATCCCTCTGACTGCTGTCCCTGTCACTGTCCTGCCCTCCTACGGCCACCCCTTTCACTATCACTCGGAACATCAGTTCCCTCCGAAGTCAAGGTTCTATCTGCCGTCCCAGCAGTCTCACTCCCCTCCATAGTGCCACTCCTTTCAAAGGTCTCACTCCCCTCCATAGTCTCACTCCCCTCCATTGTATCACTGCCTTCGTAAGTCCTAGTCTCCCCGAGGGTTTCAAACGTGTTGGTTCTCCCCATAGCCTCACTTCCCTCCATAGTGTCACTCCTCCCAATAGTACCACTCCCCTCCATAGTGCCACTTCTCTCTATAGTCCCACTGCCTTCAAACGTCTCAGTCCTCCCCACTGTCTCAAACGTGATACTTCGCCCCATTGCATCCGTCCCCTCTATAAGCTCACTCCCCTCAATAGTCCCACTCCCCTCCCTAGTCAACGTCCCTTCCCAGCATCTCACTAACAGCTGTCTCGGTCTCTTCCAGGGTGAAAGTCCGCTCCATAGTGTCACTCCCGCCTGGAGTCACAACCTCTGTCCCATCCAGCGTTCTGTCGTCTATTGTGCCGCCCACAGTGCCATCCATTGTGCCATCCAATGTGCCGTCCCATGTGCCATCCAAAGTTGTGCCATCCTCATCATCACTCGACCCTGTCTCCTCACTCCCCTCGCTTTCACTCGAACCACTTTCCGTCCCCTCACTCTCACTCTCCACCTCACTCCCACTCTCCTCCTCACTCCCACTCTCTTCCTCACTCCCTCTCTCCTCCTCACTCTCTTCTGTCTCACTTTCCCCACTCCCCACGTACTCAGTCTCTCCCTCGTCTGAACTCCCCACAGGGCTAAGGCTTGACTCACTGCCCTCCTCACTCTCCTCCTCACTCCCCTCCTCACTCCCCTCCTCACTCCCCTCCTCACTCTCCTCCTCGCTCCCCTCACTCCCTCCAGAAGCACCACTCTCCACCGCACTAAATTCCCCATCTTCTCCCTCCTCCCTACCTACCCTCATCTCACTCCCTTCTGTCCCACTCTCCTCCCCTTCACTCCCTTCACTCTCCCCCTCACTCTCTCCCTCAGCACTTCCATCAAACCCACTTCCCTCCTCACTCTCAGCCTCCTCACTCTCTCCTTCCATCCCACTCCGACCCTCACTCCCATCCTCCTCCCCACTCTCCCCTCCATCCCACCCCTCACTGCCAACCTCCCCCTCGTCCTCCTCACTTCCCTCCTCCTCCGCACCTCTCTCAATCCTCACCACAAGGGTCCCTGATCCTTGAGTATCAGCCAACAAGCCACCACCACCAGCACCACCAGCAGCACCACCAGCGCCAGCAGCAGCAGCAGCAGCGCCAGCAGCAGTGGGTGAGAATCTCGACTTGTTAAAAACCACAAACACACGCTCATCATCCTCCCCTGGCCTGCCACTAGGCGACTTGCTCCCCCCCCCCCATTGCCCCACTCGCCCCACCCATTCCCATGCCAGCTCCCCCACTCAACGGCGTGCTGGCCCCGCTCGTACCCCCTCCAGTACGCATAGAATTTGCCTCCAGAAAAGGGGAGGGGGGTGCGGCGCCGTACTCGTTGATAAACACGATGCCTTCCGATTGCATCGGGGGTTTTCATGCCGCTATAGCCCGTGGGAGTGCCTCCCTGTGACGGTGCCAGTATCGGTCTGCCCACCCACGCACCTACACTCTCATCCTCGCTCTCTTCTTCCTCCTCCTCTTCCTCCTCTTCCTCCTCACTTGCATCCTCAGTTGCCTCCTCGCTCCCCTCCTCGATCTCCTCTTCACTCTCCTCCTCAATTTCCTCCTCACTCTCTTCCTCAATCTCTTCCTCACTTTCCTCCTCACTCTCCTCATCACTACTATACTCCATCTCCTCCTCTTCCTCCTCTTCATCCTCTTCCTCCTCCTCATACTCTTCACCCTCCTCCGTCGCTTCCTCACTCTCCGCCTCTTCACTTTCCTCCTCCTCACTCCCCTCCCCCCACCCTATACCAAACCCACCAGCCCTAGCACCAGAGCCTTTACTCCACCCACCAAGCCCCGCCCAGGCCGGTACCCCTGTGCAGGCTGCTGACTCATCACCCCCATCTCTGCTGCTCCTCCCACCGCTCTCCCAGGCACCGCCGCCGCTGCTGCAGCTGCCCCTGGCAATGCAGCTCCATCTGCGCCTCTCCCTGTGCTCTTAGCAGGCGACACTGTAACGAACGCAATGGGAGACATAAGAGCCTCATGCCCCTCCGCTAGCACAAACACACCAGGAGCAGCAGCAGCAGCACCAGCAGCACTAGCTGCTGCTGCTGCTGCTGGCGGCTCTGCAACCTCTCCGTTTGCTCCTGCATGTGTATGGGTGGAATAGCGGCCAGCACCAGGGCTAGTGGCATTATCCTTTGCTCCAGGAATGGCAAGGGAAGGAGGACGAGGAGGGCGCATAGCACTACCACTACCACTACCACTGGCACCGCCACTACCACTGCCCCACTTGCTACACTTGCTACACCTGCTGCAGCTGCTGTACCTGCCGCCCCAGACCCCCTTGCTCCCCGTCCCTTAACCCAGCCCCAGCATCACCTGCCTGATTCAAGTCCTTTCCTTGCTGCGCCTCCTTCCCTGCCTCTCTCCCTGCTTGCCCGTCATGCTTCGCCCCAAACACAAACGCGCTTGCCCCTGCAAAGAACCCTGCCACAGACCCCCCCCACGACTGCTGCCCCCCTGCCTGCTGCCCCCCTGCCTGCTGGCCCCCAGGCACAGCCCCTGCTGCTGCTGCAGGAGCTCCCGCCCCTCCCGCGTAACCGCCAGGGGCGAACGGGTGCAGGCCGGAACCCGGCACAGCAGCAGACGCAGCAGCAGTGCGGCATAAGCAGGGGATGTGACCATAAGCCGGGGGGATGGGGGGTATGCGCGGCTTACCTGCTGTTCCTGACGCGAATGGGTGGGGCTGTGAAGGGCCGAGCTGAGAGGAGGAGGCGGTAGGAGGGCCGACAGGGCGAGGGGGGAGCTGCTGCTGGGGGTGAGGAGGAGCGGGGGCAGAGGACCGAGACCTAGATGCGAAAGGGAGAGGTCGGGGAGATGATGGTCGCGGGCTGGTGGGTGGCTGGGGTGCATGCCTTGCGCCAGGCTGACCCTGCCCCGAATGAACCTCCCCCGGGTGAAACCCGCCCCCTGGCATTCCCCCTTGGCTGTTGAACATGAATCCGTTACTCTGCTGTTGCTGCTGCTGCTGTTGTGAGGCAGGCCCCCATCCCGCCTCGTGTTTGATTTCCGAGTCCGAGTCATCAGAGTCCTCTTCCCCTGCTCTCCACACGTCCCTCTCTACCCCATTCCTCCGCCCCACATTCCCAACCGTCATCCCCCGCTGCCCCTGCCCCTGCCGCTGCTGCTGCTGCTGCTCCTACTCCCTGTGCATGCCTCCCTCCCTCACCTCCTTCTATCCACAACCCCCGCCACCCCCCCCTCCTGCACCACCCTCTTCTCCACCACTCTCCCCTCCCCCGGACAAGCCTACTCTGCACCTCCTCCTCCTCCCCCTCACTCTCATACACCACCCAGTCATCATACTTCCCCACATCCTCCAGCAACAAACCCCCCGAAGTCGCAGGGCGCAGCACAGGAGCCCCAGACCCAACCCTGGACAGCGAAACAGGCGTACCCGGCCTGGCAGGCCCCACAAATCCCACAACCACAGGCTGAGCCGCCGCTGCTGCCCCCCTCCTCTCCACACTCCCCTCGCCATCCGACGAGCTCCACGCCCCACTAGCCCCAGCGCTGGCCAACCCCTCTACTGGCAACCCCCCTCATGCTCTTACTCGCTCTGTTAATCTCCGCCCCTGTGCCAAAACTCCCTCTGCTGTCCGCCGTCCCACCTGCTACTCGCTCCAGCATCCCTGCCCCTAGAGACGAACCTCTAGGCGATCTCTTTCCTAGCCGTGATCTCCCAGACTTGCCCGCGCTGCTAGGGCGAGGAGCCCCATGCCATAACCCGCCCCTCGCCTCTCCCTGAAATGGTACCCGCTCCCTGCTCCCCTATTTCAGATACGGGACTCATGCCTCCGCCTCTAGACCCATGACTCGCCAGACTCCCGCTTTGAACGACCCTGCTTCGTCTCCCCCTCGCGCTCTCCCCCACGAGTCCCCCAACCCGCCCTCCAGCCGCCCACTCATCGTCTCCGAGTCATCACTTGAATCCGACTCCACAAGCTGGTCCCGATCCGCGCCAGAGTGGAAGATCCAACGGTCACCGCTGCCCGTGGCGGCGCGCTGCAGGAGATTGCTATTGGTTGGTGCGGAGAGGGGCAGCAAGGCCGCTGCTGCTGCGGAGGGGCTTGGGGGGAAGCCGCTGGTGCTGCGGTAGGGAAGGGGGGGAAGCTCGCTGTTGCTGCGTATAGGAGGCATACCAGTAGCGCCGCCAGGACCATGACCAGGTAGGGGCTGCTTCGACCATGACTGCTGCTGCTGCTGCCGCTGCTGCTGCTGCACCTGCTGCTGCTGCAGGAGCGTATCCCTATCTCTGCCACTGCCACTACTGCCGCTGCTTCTCCCCATGCTTCCGCGCCCCTGGCTCCCCTGCCGTCCGCTCCCCCCAGAAACCTCCCCACCGAACACCCCTTCCTGCTGATCCCCTGATCCAAACGCCCCCTCCCCCACCCTGTTCCGCTTCGCCTTCGCCTCCCGCCTGCCCCCCCCTTCCCCTGCAGACACAGGCGAGCTCCCACCTAGCGGAGTCCCAGGGGTGGCTCGTTTCGACCCCCCACCGGACTGCTCTCTGGGATCGTCTCTAGAGATTTCCCGAGAGCCTAGAGCAGCGCCTAGAGCTCCTCCTACCACGGCGCCTGCCACTGCTGCCCCGGCACCAGCCCCAGCTGCAGCAGCAACTGCTGCTCCGCTCGGGCCTGCTTCCCCTGCTGAACCTGCTTCTGCCGCTTCACCTCTATCACCCGTGTCTGCTGCTTCTGCTGCCTCTGTTGCTTCTGCTGCTTCTGCTGCCCCTGCTGTTCGTGCTGCTTGTGCTGTTGGTTCAGGCAGACTTTGTACGGCAGACTCTGAGTCGCCAACACTACTGAGGTCTCTTGCAGTGTCCCCTGACGCCAGCACGGCTGCAACTGACGTTCTCGAGTCTTCCCTCATCCCTTCCGACCCCCCCACCCCTTCCGAACCTCGCACCCCTTCTGAACCTTCCACCCCCTCCATCGCATCCCCGCTGGTTGCTTCTTCTGCTGGCTTGGCTTCTCGCCCTGCAACCAAACCTGCCACCCCGGCTGCTACGGCCCCGCCTGCTGCTGCTGCCCCTGCTGCCAAGCCAGCTATAAGCCCAGTCCTACCAGCACCACCAGCACCACTGGCACCACCAGCACCACTGGCACCACCAGCACCACTGGCAGCAGGAGCAGGGCTAGAACTGGGCGTCTGTGCTTCCGCTGTTGTTTGTGGCACTACAACATCTCTTACTGCAGGCCGCACCCGTTCAGGCAACCTAGGATCCGCGCTAGTCGCCTCATCCGGCGGCTGTGCTTCTCGTTTCGACCTAGCTACCTTCTTCCCCTTCTTCCCTTTCTTCTTCTCCTCCGCTTCGCCTGAGCCTGCTTCTCGCGCGGCTCTTGCCCCTGATCGGCGGGACCTGGCTGGCCGTCCGATCTCGGTGGATATCTCCTGGACGGTCACGATCTCTGTGGAGATCTCCTCGATCTTGACGACCTCCTCTCGCACGTGTCCTGATACAGCGCTCCTGCTCGCAGCCTGCTTACGACAATTCCGTGGGGTTTGGGGGGGGGGTACGGGGAGGGGGTTAGAAGGGCCGGGAGGAGGGGGAGGAGGGCGGGGAGAGGGGTTTGCGCATGGAAGAATGGGGTTGAGTGGAATTATAGAGGTGAAGAGGCAGCAGACCCATTTATTTCATTCCTGAACCCTACTCACAGCGAAACATCCCTGTGCCAAACCCTCTTGGTGCACCTAACACCGCGTTCCACCCTTTCACAACTTCAATATGCACCTCCCAACCCCACAGCACCGCACCTGAGCCGGCGGCAAGGCGTGTGAGGCCGTAGCAGCCTCTTCCAGCCAATCGTCGTCCGCACTGGCGTTCGGGAACCACGTCAGCCCTGTGAGGGGGTGCGGGGAGGGGGGCAAAGAGGGAGCGGGGGAGGAGGTACCGGGAGTGGGGAAGGAAGGCAGCGGGGAGGGGAAGGGAGGCATAGACGGAAAATCTGGCGTCAAGTGCAAATGTTGGAGCGCATCAACGGTCAGACGCGGGACAGGAAGAGCGAGATGACCTGGTGAGGTGAAAGGTAGCGGCGCTCAGAGACTAGGCAGAAACCTAGTCAGAGAGGGAATCACAAGAGCAAGGTCTTAATCGCCAGATTAGCATATGGGTCTGTAAGGGATCCCAAATCCGCAGGGTGCAAATGACTTCTGAGGCGCCTCAAAAGTCGCAGCTAATAGCCAGAATGGCATACGGGTCTGTACAGGATCGCAAATCCGCGGGGTGCGAATACTAAAAGAGAATTCTATGAACGTATCGAGTTCTTGGAAGAGCGAGTGTATCTTCAGAGATCTATTAGCGATCAGGGCGGTTGCTGGTTCCACTGATGGCGTTCTGATGGTTTCTCTGGAAAATAGGGGCTCTTCAAGTAGTGGAGAGCGGCAGTCGTCAAATTCACAACCTCGTCTAATGAACAACTGTAACGGTAACGGTACTGACATCTGACAATTGCGTTTGGAACTGACCTCTGCCTGATGCGTCGGGTGTGGTGGGTGGGGAACAAAGCGGCCATGGCAGATGACCGTCTTCTAGCGTCGCGTTTGGTGGAATCGCGATACACAAGAGCTCTCTAAAGTGGAACCGGCGTCGCGAGTCGCTGGCTTTCTTGATAAGCTCCGCCTTCTTGCGAGTCCTAGAGTTAGTGGACTGCAGGCGAGTTAAGTCTAATTCATTCGGCTCTTCGGGCCTTTTGCTTTTCTCGCGTTTCGATTCGCGCGTGAGCTGTCTAGACGTGCGTCGCGAACCCCAAAGACTCGCCATTGTCGCGAAAACTACAAGCATTACAATCCTAAAACGAACCTAAGAACGGATGCACGAAAAAAATAGGCTATCCGTTGCTAGTAGGTAAGCAGGCGTGACCCATAAATAACATAACTTAATTACAGGACGCGGTTAGTTAGGTCAGTAAGCTAAGATCAGCAACAAGCTTCTAGTTCCGTACAAATAAGCTATCTCCAGCCACTGATGCCATAGCATCTTGTCTGCACGACACTCCCTCTGCTTCCTGCCCCAAGCAGCTCCTCTCACAGACGGATTTCGGCTCGGTAATCCCAAAGTTTTTGAAAGGAGACGCAGTTTGCCCGCCCTCGAGCCTGCCCTGTTGTGTGGCCAGGCCTGGCCTGGCATGGTCT